TTGAGCTACATTAACAAATATAAACATGTTGTAACCTGAACGTGCGCGCTCCGACAGTGTAGAGTATGGCGCGGTACAATTACGTGTTAACTCGTCATTGTTTTATAGATCTTAGATCATTATACTGCAATGTCGTCTGTGCGGAAGTGTGTGAATTCGTCTGATAGTTTCTGTTACATTTGTGGCGAATATATGATATTAAAGCAACAAGTGAATATTACGGACTTTGTAAAAAAAGTATACTTTGCGTATTTTGGCTTAAAACTTGGAGATCAGGATAAAGCTTGGGCACCTCATAAAGTATGCAAACGATGTGTTGAAGACCTTCGAAATTGGTTTAAGGGCAAGAAAAAAGCTTTCCGATATGCGATTCCTATGGTATGGCGCGAGCAAAAGAACCATAGTGATGATTGTTACTTTTGTTCGTGTAATGTGAAAGGGTATAATTCAAAATGGAAGCAGTCAATTTCATACCCCAATCTGCAATCTGTTACTCGTCCCATCCCTCATGGGACCGAAATACCAGTTCCCAAGGTCCCTGCTACCTTGGAAGAGATTCCAAGTTCTGACGAAGATGGTGCTGTACCTAAGCCCGATGACCAGTCAAGTTTTGAATTTGAAGATGACAACAGTCCGAAATTGTTTTCCCAGGGCGAACTAAATGATTTGGTAAGAGACTTGAATCTTCCTAAAAACGCTGCTGAGTTGCTTGGATCAAGGCTTAAAAGCAGGAATTTACTTTTGCCGGGAGTGTCTTCCTCCTGGTTTAGATATCGTGAGAAGCAGTTTACTTCCTACTTTGCCCAAGAGGACGAGTTGGTTTATTGTACCAATATTGAAGGTTTGATGGATAAATTTAAGATCTCATACGACCCAGCAGAGTGGCGTATTTTCATAGATTCTTCAAAAAGAAGCCTTAAAGCAGTTCTGCTTCACAACGGCGGTTTCTATGCTTCCATTCCTGTTGGTTATTCCGTACACCTCAAGGAAACCTATAAGAACTTAAAAATGATTCTTTTCAAATTAAAATATAAAGACCACGGTTGGCAAGTGTGTGGTGATTTCAAAATCTTGGTCATGGCGCTCGGACAACAATCTGGGTTTACAAAATTCCCTTGCTTTTTGTGTCTATGGGATAGTAGAGACCGAACAAACCACTGGACCAAAAAGTGTTGGCCTCTTAGGGAGCTTAAAGTTGGCGAAAAGAATGTCCTGCATGAAACTTTGGTACCTCCTCATAAAGTTCTTCTACCACCGCTTCACATAAAGCTTGGATTGATGAAACAATTTGTAAAGTCACTTCCAAGAGATGGAAATTGCTTCAAATACTTAATATCAAAGTTTCCAGGCCTGTCGGAGGCAAAGTTAAAGGAAGGTGTTTTCGTTGGACCAGATATTAGACGGCTTATGGCTGATCCACTATTTATCACAACCATGACGGATCCTCAAAAAGAAGGGTGGATTGCCTTTAAAGAAGTAACAACGAAATTTTTAGGCAATAACAAAGACCCAAACTACAAACAAATCGTCAAAAGAATGTTAAAAGCATTTCAAGCCTTAGGTTGCTTAATGAGTTTAAAAGTACATTTTCTTCATTCCCACCTCGACTACTTTCCAGAAAATTTAGGAGACGTGAGTGAAGAGCAAGGTGAACGATTTCACCAAGATATTAAGGAGATGGAAAAAAGATACCAGGGAAGATGGAGCGTCTCAATGATGGCAGACTACTGTTGGACGCTTCAAAGAGACCTTCCAGATGCTTCCCACAAGCGAAAATGTACCAAAAGGAGTCTCACTGGGAAAAAGAAATGTATTTAGTGCTTATTAATTAATGTATTTTAAATAAAAAAATAGTTTTGTTACGCAATTATAAATTATAAATTTATTTTTCAATTTTTTATGTTTTATTTTACGATAATAACTTGTTTAACATAGACACCTACATTGTCAGAAAACGTTACCTTCTAGGACAAAATGAAAGTTATTTTCGAATTCAGCATACCCAAAAACATAAGAATTCCACATAACAACCAAAACAGCTCTTAATTATTTTTTTTTGCAGACTTGTGTTATTAGATGATTACTAGATTTAATAGTTAATCTTGTTAGAAAATAATAGGTTGGTTTGATGTTTAATATTGTAATAATTCTAAAGTAATTATTAGGTTTCAATGTTGATATTGTTTTAAAAAACAGGTTGTTTGGAAGCTTAATTTTAAAATTAAAAAGTTAATATTGTTAGAAGATAGTAAGTTAGTTTGAAACTTAATTGAAACTTAATATTGTAATAGTTCTAAAATTTAAGTGGGAGTGTTAAGTAATACATTTTAGAATGTATAATCTAATATCTTTGCTTTCTATTTAAAAAGTTACTATTCCTTGCCGCTTGGTGCGTTATATGTTATCTGTTTTCTGTCATCTGTCTCCCGAGAAGTTGTAACTGTGTTATAGCTATAAAAAAGGTTATTAATAAAAATGAAAGAAATCTTGCTTAATTACATTATTTATAACTCAAAATAACATTTTTTACTAGATTTAAAATAAAATTTTAGGCAAATAGGCGTATCTACACAAATTGGTCACGTACAAAATCCAATCGAACATTTGGTCGGTTTACGCCGTCGAGTAATCGCGTCGGGAGCGTGATGGCGCGAAGGTACCGCTTCAGTCCATTTACTCAGTGTTTGGAGAGTATCTGAAATATTTGTTACGCTCGTGCGACTGTATCTTAAGTTAATTTATTGGTTAACTATTTTTGACGAAAATGATACCTAAGTTACGTTTACGAAAGCTCAAAAACTTATAAATAAAATTATTAGTTAAAGCAACCGACCTGATTGAAGTATGGAAAATGAGAATCAAAACGAAAATAATGAAACGGAATTTCCAGGTAAGACAAGATTAATTTATTGTATCTTTTAATGCATATTATATTGCACTAATAAAGTAATAACTATCTACTTATTGTAAAATACTAACTGTAAGTTTACCCAAAACCTCGTATAAAGGCAAAATATCACATCTGCCTTTTTACGTGGTTCGGTTTTTGGTAAATCGTGTTCGCCTTTTTTGCAGACATATTATCTTTTGTACCTAATAAAAACTAATTAAGATTTTTTTGTATCATTACGGGTAGAAATATAGATTTGTATACTATGACAGTTCCCTTATTAGTTAATTATGACTATTGACTTAATAACCTTCAATGGCGTAAGTGCAGGCAGGCTATTTGTATGGAAATTACAGTTTGTATTAAATGAGTCCGAGACATAATGTATGTACCTACATACGAGTATGTATGTACATACATCTTGCGGCAAGGATGAAACGTGTACTTATGTATTTGAAGGATGGTACGTGTAGACTCTCACTATCCCCCTGGTCTTCTCCACTCCACCTGGCACCTAAAAAGAAGGCTGGCGCCCCTGTGGCGATTATCGGATGCTCAACTCCAGGACGGTTCCAGACAGGTATCCCATCCGCCACATCCAGGACTTCGCTTCCAGCTTATCTGGTTGCACTATATTCTCCAGCATTGACCTGGTAAAGGCGTTACCAAATTCCCGTTAATCCCGACGATATAGCTAAAACTGCCATCACTACACCTTTTGGACTTTACGAATTTCCGTACATGACATTCGGACTTCGTAATGCTGGACAGACGTTCCAGTGGTTCGTCGACGAGATGCTACGCGGACTGGATTTCGTATACGCATACCTAGACGATTTTTTAGTATTTTCCAGGGACCAGCAATGTCACGAGTAACACTTGCACCAGCTGTTCACCAGGCTAAAAGAGTATGGTATCGTAATCAACTGCACCTTTGGCGTTTCTGAAATATCTTTCTTAGGCTATAATATCACTTGTACTTGTAAAGAAGACATTCAGGCTTCTGCGGCTGAACTTCTTTACGGGTAGCCACTGCGTCTTTCAGGCGAATTTTTCAACCCAGATCACCAACAAACAGCGGATATGACAGACTACTTGTCACGCATTCGCAAATTTGCTAGTGATCTTTTACCAACACCAGCCTCACGGCACAGTGGTTAACGCAGTACCTTTATATTCAAGGTCTTGTCTAACTCGTCCCACGAATTTTTACGAGACGACATCACGGGGGGCACGCTAAAGCCAGCTTATTCAGGTCCCTACGAAGTCATTGCATGAGGAGACAAGGTCTTCAAGATCATGGTGAGTGGAAAGTACGTCACGGTATCGATAGACCGCATCAAGCCAGCCTACATACTCTCAGACACAAACACACATTCACCACATCCCACACACAACTCAACACACACGCAACAGCACTCACATCATTCCACCCAGACAATACCAATCAACGATGATAACGTCATAAAAAACGCGATCAGGCTGCGTCGCTCGCTTTCCAGCCTACTATCGCCCTTGACGGTCTCTGGAAGGGGGTGATGTAGTATATCTAATTAATTTAATTATAATAAAATAAAAAAATAAAAAATTATGCATGTAATATTATAAAATAAATAAAAACGCACAGACAAACTCGCGCCCCGCCGTTTAATATAGATAATTACAGGCTGTAGAAACTTCCCTTATAAAAAATAATGTATGAAGTTTATCATAAATCATTTACCAACCTTATAAATAAAGTAGAGTGTAACAACTCTAATAACTATGGTAGTAATGGAATAAAATGAAAAGTATTTATTTTCTAGTTTTAAGCATCTATTTATAAAAAAAAACTAATAAATTTCATTTAGATAACTTGAGAACTAAATGCAATTTTTGATCTTAATTTTCTCTTGAAAAAGACGGTTTTCACAAACTAAATGGTAGGAAATGATTGTTTTGTATGGCAACATTATTTATCCAACATTCAAAGTTCAACTTCAAACCTAAATAAACATGGCGAAATGCAAATTCAATTTCAATGTTCTAAAATCTAAAGTGATTAGTGAATTGCAAAGAGTGTAGTCAAACTGGTTTTGGTAAATTTTGTTTGCAGTGCATTATAGCGATAATGAGCCGAAATTTTAGAAAATGCGTCATCTGCAACAAACAGGAGCAGAAAGACAAGACTAGTGGCAAACGGTTGTTTTTTACCACGTTTCCTTTGGAAGAAAGTCGGTAAGTAACCACACTTTTCAAGTTATTTTAAAGTAAAATATTCACTTTAAAACTCTCGGCTACCAGAGGGCTATCATTAACATATTTTACACCATTATAAAATGTTCTATATGATGCATATTCTAAGGATAGATACGCACTTCTAAGTAGTTGATAAAATTGTAAAGAGAATAAAGTGTATAACCACATATTTGATAAGGGTTGTGTTATCAATAATTGAAGCATAATATATTATTATTATTATTATTAATGTTGGGTGTGGTGCCGAGGTCGGCCCTAGCTACGCATAATATATTACATTAACTTCTAAATTAGGTATATTAGAGAGGCTGCTGAAGTGTTGGACATTCGAATTCAACTAGATTCTAATGTTTCTTCATTTCTGAAAAAAAAATGTTAAATGAAGGCATCAATTATATAGACTTTTCCAGCTCACTTGCTTTTTTTTTGGTTTTTCAACATTTAAATTGTTCTATTTAATTTCAGTTGTAAAAAGTGGATTACATTAGTAGGCAATCCAGAACTGGTATTTTTACCAATAGAAAAATTGCACAAGAATCGCTATGTATGTGGTGACCACTTTGACAAAAAACGATTTCAACCGCAAAAAAACTCGTCTAAAAAAACTGCAATTCCTACACTAAAATTAACTGCACCACCTCTGACTGAAGAGCAGTTAATTGAATTTCCTTACCATGCTTATGGTTGGAATAAAGGTGGGTAATTGTTTTACTCATTATCTAGAGTCAATATTTTTATGTAAAAATGTTTTGGTTTTGAGGCTTTTGAATTGAGCATCATCTAGTGCATCCTATGAGAAAAGCTTCTTTGCTCAATTTATAAGATTATTATGTTGAAACATTCAAGTTATGATAATAGTAGAAAAAAAAGTAATGATATATGTATTGGTTGCATCAATTAGCCAAACTTTTCAATTTACCTTATTCAGAATTCCAGAAAATGATTATAGTGTTTTATTATAATAAAAAAATTAATTCTTCCATTGAAATTTTATTTATTTATTTAAAGCAAAAGATTAGGTTACAAAAATATACTCTTTACATAACTGTTTAATGTACAAGGAAACAATATGAGTATTTTGCATTTATGTTTATTTAAATTATGGATCCCCAATTGATTATTTAATTTATTGTATATCATTTTTCAAACTATCAATGAGTTTGAAAAATGATATTGTCATTTGTCACCTACCAAAATTGTTATCTAATTTTTGTATTTATCTTCCAGAAAAGAAGTCAGCTGAGGTCGCTTTAACTAGCTACACTTTACAGCCTTCTACAAGTTTAACTTCACAGCCTTCCACAAGTTTAGCTTCAGAGCCTTCCACAAGTTCAACTTCACAACCATTCTTTGTCAGAGTTGCAGACAATGGTAAACAAAATATTAACATAAATGGTAAAATTATGACAACAGTAGAAATACCCTAAAAGTTATTCAATTTTGAATTATTTAATTTCCAGAACAAATATCAGCTGATGTTGCTTCAAAAAGCCACACTTTACAGTCTTCCATTATTCCAAGATAAAAACATGGTAAGCATATTACTATAATACAATGAATAAATATCACTTGAACGTGAGTTTCCAGTTAGGCCAATAAATCATTGTTTGTGGAGAAATGGCTGAACATATTGTTGATGAGCTTTGGTATATAATATTTTGAGGTTCTGGAAAGATACTTTATATTATAGCTATCTTATTTACTTTATATTATAGATAGCTTATTTACCTAGTAGCTCTCAAAGAAGTGTCATAAAATCAATTTCCATTAATGCAAAGCCTAGATATGAGTTTAGACGTTTGGATGTTTGTTACTGCTGAGCTGAACAGATCTGGAGTTAATTTGGCACAGAAATAAATTATAGTTGAATAGCACATAGGTTACTATATATCCCTTAGAAATATATGGTTTGTGTAAAATGCGATATCTCATTTTGTAGATGTCGCACCTGAGAAACAAGATATCGACTGTTCTACAACCCAAGGTATAAAGAGAAAACTGGACAAAAATATAGGTACTTACCTAATTATTTATTATATCATACACACATTGTCAACCAGAGGCATTGTTGGCAGAGACACAAATATGTACATTTATACAAAAATGTGTACATAGGAGTAATTAAATTTTGGAATAGGTGACTCTATGTACTTATGTATATTTTGTTTAGTAACTACATCTACTCATCACTCACTATGCTTTTTTATTTGACAACCAACATATGAGTTGGTTACCAACAGTTACTGCTACATGAAATTTTGTATATGATATGTAGCAGATACTTAAAAAAAAATATTTTTATACTCAAATAAAATACGTTTTACATCATAAAAATAGGTTGAAATAAATTATTATGCTGAACTATTAAATTATAATTCTTGTTACTGTAAAACTAATACATAATTATTAATATCTATTAGAGAAATTTAATTGAACAAATTGTTTTGATACTAAAGTGATACAGTTGGGACTAAATATATATGCTTACTAACTTATGTGTTTCCATTTTCAGAAATGACACCAAGGAAGAAAAAACTACTAAAGCAACTTAGAAATACCAGGTGCACACTAAAGTCGATGCGCAAAAGCGCTAACATAATCGGAAATATTGAATCCACTGTATTAAAAGACATAGTCATCTCAGCATGCAAAAACCAAAAGAGAAAGACAACAGGTCGAAGATGGACTACACAAAATAAAATATCTTGCCTGGCCATATTCAAAAGATCTGCTAAGACATACAAATACCTGAGACACATCATTCCACTGCCTAGTATCAAAACACTACAGAACATTTTAAAAAAAATCCTATGGAACCAGGAGTAAACAAATCTGTTTTACAGTACTTAAAAGTAGTAGGCGAAGGAAAAGATGCAAAAGAAAAAGTATGTGCCTTACTTTTCGACGAGATTGCGCTAAAACCTCGCTTAATCTATAACCCAGCTACTGACCAAATAGATGGATTTCAAGATTTAGGGAATGCTAAAGGAGAAGGAAGGTCAAACAAAATAGCAAACCATGCACTTGTATTTATGATACAAGGAATTTATAAAAAAATTAAGCAACCAATCGCCTTCTACTTTGTTAAAGGTACAATTTCTTCAGAAAAACTTGCAGCAATTGTAAAGGAAATAATAAATGCAGTAGCTGCCACAGGTTACAGAGTTTTAACCACTGTCTGTGACCAGGGCTCTACAAATATGGGTGCCACTAAACTTTTAAAAAAGTTTTCTTCCATCCCTGAGAGTACCAACATATGTGACCATTCATTCTTCTGCAATGATCAAGAAATATATATAATGTATGACATGCCACACCTTTTCTAAACTTTAAAAAAAAATGGAACTTTAATTTTTAATGGGAAGACTGCTAAATGGTCTCATCTGGTGCAAGTTGAAGAAAAAAATAGGAATTTTCTATATTTTTAAAAAATCACTTCCACTTGCACCAAAATATAGATCTAAAATGAGGGTGAAGTTTGCTGCCCAAATTTTAAGTAACACTGTGGCAGCAGTACTTAAGCTTCTATCTACTGGAGAAAGAAATGAATTCCATGCAGCAGAATTAATGGATACCGCTTTGGTTGTGCAAGAATTGGACCGTTTATTTGATTGCACAAATGGGCCATCATGTGCAGAAGACATTAAAAAAGGCATTCGACAAAATGTGTCACAAAAAACTAATCATTTGGATGTTTGGTCTCAATATGAAAAAAAGTTGCAGACCTTAAAATTTATAAACAGTGCTGGTGATGTTGCAGCAAATGTTAAATGTATACATGGCTATATCACCTCCTTCATTCATCATTGTCATTGAGAGGGATTTGGACAGAGGTACAAAAATTGGGATTTAAATATTTCAAAGTACTGGCTGTATTACGCCGGTGAGTCCCACACGTCGTGCGTAAATGCATTTCCCAACGTTAAAAAAAAAAGGTTAGTAGTACCTACTTTTGTTGAGATCAAAGGTGTTAACGTATGTTGTGTGAGTGTGTGTATGTGCATGTGTGTGTGTGTGATGCGTGCGTGCCTGCGTGCGTGCCTGCGTGCGTGCGTGCGTGCGTGCGTGCGTGCCACTGCTGGGCACGGGCCTGCCTCAGTACGAGGGATCAGGCCATAGTCCACCGCGCTGGCCTAGTGCGTGTTGGTGTAGTCTTTCGAAAACTTGCTAGGTTTTTCCTGGTAACTTTTTAGTATGTAATGTATACTAATACTGTATAACTATGTATATATGATACGACCAAGTGTGAGTTTGACTACGCAAATTCAAAGTTAAAGCACGAAAAGCTACGAAAAAGCTAGTGTTTCATATATTGTCGTGTTAGATATATTTTAGTAATGCTTATTTTAATATTATAAAATTTTTATTTTAGTGGACGTTCCTCATTACTCAAGCGCTATAAATCAAGGTCTGGATACTACCATGAACAATATGATCTCTAATTTGAATTCATCAGCCAGCCCAACCATTCTACACACAAATAATAATACCAATAGGGACAAGATTAATAATATTGATCATATTATGACCACTGATCCAGCACATTCGTCAGTTATTTTAGCCACTTTACATAGTGACAATAGTTCAGATATCATAGAACCATCAAAAGCGATAATAATCTAACTGGTATACCATACTTAAGGACATCTTATACTACACTTCAAAATGTAGAAGCTACTGAGTATGACGATTATCTACAAAATCAATCCTTAGCTCAAGACACTGACGATTTTTCTCCGGGTACTGACGACGATTATCATCCTAAACCTTTTTTTTTTTTAAACGTTGGGAAATGCATTTACACACGACGTGTGGGACTCACCGGCGTAATACAGCCAGTACTACCCACTAAAACCCAACAAAACCTTCCCCCGTCTTAATGGGGCGTCGCAGGATCGCTTATGCATTCAACTAAGACGCCCCGACGGCAGGTCTGCCAAAGCAGACCACCACAACCATGGGGTTGCTCCAAGGTCCACTCTGCTATCAGAGAAGTACCAGGGAAGCAACCCGCAAGGTACACCGCCCCCCGAAGAGGGCCACCTCTCACCGCCCACCGAATTGGGCAACCTCCCTGTGCGTTTCTTAGCTTCGCGCCCGGTTGGATTGCCGGGCACTACTGAGCCCCCCCACCACGACAAGGTGAACGCACGTTGGGGGGGGATTATCATCCTAACCATGATAATACGTTCATCGCCACTAGTGCTAGTAACAATTCGCAAAATATGCAAGAAATAGGTAGGTCTAATTCTACTCCCATGGTGGCAAATGAAGACCCTAGTACTGAACCATCCACTAGTGGCTTGCAACAAAATTCACTTATAAAAAGAAAGCAAAAGGTGTTCCCGCCTAAAGAGCATAACTCCAAAAAACGTCGTAGAAACCCTGAGCAGTGGAAAAAAAAGCTGCGGCATTAGCTAGACAAAAAGGAGAAGAGTATTTGTCGTATAAAAATTCAATAGTTCCTAAAAAAGATATAAAAGAAGGTTTGTTGTGCCACGAAAAATGCAGATTGAAATGTTCAGAAAAAATTTCATCAGATCAAAGGAAGCGGATTTTAAAAGATTTTTATTTATTAGATGTTAACGGGAAAAATGCACTACTGTTTCAGAGTTTAGTAAGCAAACCAACAGCAAGACAAAGAAAAGGGTCTATAAAACATAAAACGGCAACCTATAAATATTTTGTTACTCATGACGGTATTACGCATGAAGTTTGCAAGCTTGGACTTTGTGCTTTGTACCAAATTGGGCGAAAGAAAGTGGATATTATTAAAGAAAAAATTAAAAGTGGAAGTTCAGCCCCAGCTCCAGACCAAAGGGGAAAACATTCTAGCAGACCACATAAAATGGACTCTGAAGTGCGTGACAAGATAAAAATCACATTTCGAGTTTTCCTGCAGAGCAGTCCCATTATTTCCGTAATAATAATGTACATAAGCTCTATCTTTCTCCACTACTAAATGTGACAAAAATGTGTAACCTTTATATCGAGATGTGTAATGCTGAAAATTTGCCAGATAAATTGAAGATTAAGAAAACCACATATAATAATGTTTTTGTAACTGAATTTAACTTATCGCTTGGCTACCCAAGAAGTGATACTTGTGCCACTTGCGATGCAGGAGAGTCTACAGAAGAACATAAAGAAAATCATCACAATGCAGTTGAAGCTATGCGACATGATAGAGAAAATGGCAAGCAATGTAACGATGTAATCTTTATTACGATAGATTTACAACAAACAATGCCTCTGCCTAAAATCCCTACGTCAAAGGCTTTTTATTTACGCCAAATATGGTTTTACAATTTTGGGATTCATGTAGTCACCAAATCCAAAGAAAACGCATTTTTTGTACGTGGACAAAAGATGATGCTGATCGTGGAAGTTGCGAGATTGCCAGTTCTCTGTTACGATTTGTCGAGATAGAATGCAGCACTAGCAACGAAAAAAAGATCACCTTGTGATATGGTCAGATTCGTGTGCTGGCCAAAATAAAAATTTTAACATGATTTGCTTGTACCAGTACATGATATTGAAGGGTTATTTCAAGACAATAGATCATAAGTTTCTTGAAGTTGGTCACTCCTATCTCGATTCAGATCGAGATTTTGGGAGAATAGAAAAGGTCCTTAGAAAACACGAAACAGTACAGGGAACCGAACAATACAGGGATATAATTTGCAAGGCATCAAAACTAAATCAAGTTATTGATATGTCCGGACATTTCAGGAACATCAGTTGCTTGCACGAAAAACTAAATCTGATAAATAGAAAAAAAGATGTTAATAAATCCAAAGTCAACTTCAGAGATGGTATTCGTTGGATACGTGAGGAGGAATTTGGTTCATATCTATATAAAGAAACTTATGATGTCATGACACCCTTTAAAAATGTGGATATATTAAAAAGAAAGTCCAGACCAGATGATTTTATTCTAGAACGGGTATCTGGTAGCTACGGCACGATAACAAGAGAGAAGAAAGATAACATTAAAGACCAACTAAAATTTGTGAAGCCCGAATATCGATATTTTTACGAAGAAATTCTAAAAAAGTGATTTTTTTTTTCATTTTAAGTTTAATTTCATGTCAATAAACACGTTCATACATTATTGTTGTATTATTTACACAACAAATATGTTGGTGAATGAAGGTGTTATGTACAGTTTTTATGTAAATTACCCCCACATATATCAAGTTTTTCCTAACAGCATTATATACTTGATAATAGACATAATTACCTGTATTTTTTGAAGCTCAAAGGATTCTAACTCTTACACTACCAATTTCTACAACTAAAATACCTCTAACGTTAATTTTCTCGAGTTTTTGTTTTTGTATCATATCACCTTCATTCACTCATGTCTTCAAATAATATCGTATACGTGTAAGTTTAATTAAGAAAATAGTAGTGTTTTTTTCTCAAAGTAAGTATAAATTAATACAGTGATCGATTTATTGGCAGTGCGTTGTTATTATAAACAATACAAATTGTACTATCTAACAATAAAATATTTCAATTTCTATTTTGTTTAACTTTTTCTTGTATTTTAAGTATGTGCTTGATTGCAGTTACTTTTTGAGTAAACAAGGTAAAAATATACAATTTTTACTTAATTTAACTTTATCATTTTTTAGATGCCTGCGAGAAGAAAAATATCCCCGAGGCAAATGGATATACTTCTAGAGTTTGCAGAGTCGAATCGCGACATAGCTTTAGGTCGCTTAACAGGCGGACCACTAGCCCATCAGGCTACCCGGCAAGCTTGGGTTTCAGTAGCCAACAAACTAAATGCAGTAGCGGAAGGTTCCACAAAAACGGCTGACCAGTGGTGTCGCGTATGTTTTCAATTACTATCTTATACTAAAAAATACTAATGCATAATTTGTCGTCAAAAATATAATCCCATGTATCTCCCTTGGTGCTTATTCTATCAAATATTTAAGTGGCATCATTAATTGGCATTTATTCAAAAAATATCTCGAAAATAAAGATCCCAAAAACTCAGAATCAGAAAAAACTAAACATCTTGACAACACGTCAAATGTTATTACAAAATACATAAATCCTTACACTTATAAGGGTTGGTTGTTTTTGTCACCCAACTGGGTAAAGGTACTTATGCACCTTTTTAAGATGTTTCTATTATTGTCATGCATTAAAATGTCTTATTTTTTACAATCCAGTATTGGATAGAGTTTAAGGCGAAAACGAAATCCATAGCAGCAGACTCTAGAAGGAATGCCTCAGCAACTGGTGGAGGGCCTAACAAACTCGTTCCTCTTACTGATACAGAAGAACGAGTGCTGGCAATAATTGGTACGGTAGCGGTGGAGGGTTTGCCTGGTGTGCGCCTGCCTCTTGAAGTATTATAATTTATAATAATAAGTAGGTATCAAATAAAATTTCAAACATTTTACAGATACCTACAGCAGAAGGGACTCAGCCTCCAGGTACCTCAGAGGCTGTACCAGCCAGCTCCAGTACAGCTTCACCTATGCCACATTCCTCAGCTCCTTATCCCGATATTATATCTCCAGAACCTCCAATGGATGTGGAATGGCTTGAAGAAGAAGTTCCATCTCCATTAGGAGTTCCATTCTCTGAGCCTTCATCCTCAAGCCCACTTCTCCCAGACACAACAGAGTCCCCTGCCCCAGCCACAGAGCCCCCTGCCCGAGCCACAGAGCACCCTGCCCCAGCCACACATACTATACAGTCAGTCAATCCACCTGAAGTTGGGTTTCGATCTCAATTATTACGACGCGGACGCAGAGCCCGAACGACGGCGAACGACGTTTAAGATTGGCAAGAAAAAAAACTTAATTAAAGACGAAGACGATGGAAGACGGCAGTAAAAAGACAGCGCGGCGAGTTCGCATGCGGCGGCGGCCGCCATGTTTTACAACTTTGGGGGAGCCGTACCTCAGTTCAACGGAGAGGACAAATCCTACTCATCAACAAAATGGGCTCAGGATATTGAAGATAATGCTGAGATATTTAACTGGACACCAGAACTAAAGCTTATAATAGTTAGGCGGTCGTTGTGTGGCACGGCAAGCCTTTGGCTAAAAGCTTAAACGAAACGAGCGAAATTTCTCGATTGCTATTCAATACATAATCAACGGCATCGAGGGTCTGCAAATAAACAAGGTGATATTATATGGCGTCACTACATACAGCGCTCTCAAGGAGAGGCTTATCATTTATGAAAAGATACAGACAGACAAAAAGAAAGAAGCGCGGGTCGAGACGGCTGTAAAGAAAAAATCAGAGGCATCATCATTCACTCGTCGGTGTTATAATTGCGGAGATAAACATTTAGCAAACCAGTGTACGAGAGGGATAAAGTGTTTTCGGTGTAATCGGTTTAGGAACCATATTGCATCGCGGTGCTCTGTGATTGGTCGCGTTGAAGGCGGTGGCAGTGCCTCTGTCGGCGCAAACGCAAAGTTCGAGACTCGTAACAATGAGACGTCGATATAGCAGTCTGCAGCGGCTTCGTCACCACTTCCGGGTCGTGGAACATCGGCAACTTCACTGTCAGTAAAACAGCGTTCGGATATGTTTGGGTCAACAGCCAATCAGTGCGAGCGGCCATGACAGCGAAAACGTAAGAGAATTGGAAGTTTGATATTTCTAGCCAAGCTGCTGATGATCTTAATGTCAAAAAGTGGAATAAAATCAGTATTGTTCCACTCGCTGCTGATTTAAAACTATTCAAAGGTTATCTTTGTCACATATCAAAAGTCTTCCGATAATTTAACGCAATCAGAAGAAAAAACTAACGTTGAAACTTTTAACAACTTTATTGAGTCAACATATTGTGGCGTGCTTTTTCTGAATAGACGTCGGCCGGCGAATTAAAACGATTAAAATTGAGCTATTACAATGATTACGGGAACGATAGCAATAAATATGAAAAATTTGACAAAATTGTTTCTTCGACGGAAAAAACATTAATAAATAAATTAAAAAGAATAGTAATCCGTGGTAAAAGAGGAAGAGGCGTGCCAGTTTTGTTTAGTATTGAAGTGCAAGAAGATATTAAAAAAATATTAGTGAGACATATGTATGTTGAAAATAAGAAGTAAAGGCAGGTGGATCGACTGTTTGCGGCTACAAAATTTTAGAAAAATATGCCAAAGCAAGCGGTGCCAAAAATTACAGGGCTCTTACATCCAAGCGGCTCAGAAAACATCTAGCAACGATGACCCAATTATTTACTATGACTGATCTTTATGGGTCACACATTAAGTGTACATAAAAATAATTATAGGTTACCTAGCGACGTTTATCAGACTGCAAAGATTTCTAAACTTTTACTATTGATGGAGAATGGAAATGCGAATAAATATCAAGGAAAAGCTTTAGATGAAATAGACTTGAACTTAGATGAAGAAGTTATAGGATACGAGATAGAAAATCAGGAAGTCTTGAATTAGAAGAAGAAGGTCCTTCGCAAAATGTGAATATGTATATCAGCGAGCAAGCTCCATGTCCTTCCCAAAAAATAAACCAAACCACCTTGGACAACTAACCAAAAAAATGTCGTGACCAATTATTCTAAAGAACACATTAAATATAAAAAACCCCCAAAACATGCTGAATGTGACGAATTAAAAAATAAATATCCTACACTTGTTCACAGCAAGGACTGGCTTTAAATTAAAGTAAATATACAAAATACTTATTCAAAACGATGATTGAAGTAATATAACATTTGCAAATGAAAAGGCAATTTATAAATAATTGAAAAAAAAAAACAATTTATAATCTAGCTCAGAAAAAACTCAAAGATTAAAAAATGCAGGATTCTGTAATATATATTAACTTGGTTTCAAAATTTTGACGTAACTACGGACCACTAAAAAATACTAGTTGTACGTAGTGGTCCGTAGTTAAGTCAATCAAATAGGTAAAACATGATGACAATAATTACTAATTATTAAAAAAAAAATTATTAAACACGTCAAATATCAAATATAAATCAGGATCTATTACGATACATATAAATCTACTCTATGTTGAAAACCGCACTAATATCCGTTGCGTTTAGGAGGAGCCATAAATCTCTGCCTCTCAAATCTTGGTTACCAATAAAGTAACTGCATATTTATTCGTGAAGTATAGAAGACCTACTTTCACCCGAATAAGTATGAATAGACTTATGTTTAATGGTTAGAATGTTTTTTTTAGTAGTTATGTAAGTAGGTAAGGCTAATAAAAGAAGTACTGTATGTCTAAATGTATGTATTTAACGTCCGTCCGTTTATTGCTATCTAACTGTAATTTAAATACGACACCAAGTGATGCAAAGATTTTGACTGCTATAAAAGCGACTAATTTTTTATTCTATGTATCTAACATAAAAGTAAAAAGATTTGGTCGATCCATGTGAAATTGAATTTATTCTTAAGTATAGGTAAAGTGAATCTAAAGTCAGGGATATTTTTCTATTAATAGGTACTAAAATTATTTGATGTCCAACAATAGGTGCTTATATCATATAGACTATAGAGAAATTTTATTAATAATTGTTGTTGTAATATTGATATTATAGTAGCTTAAGTGTGAGAAATTCTAATAATAATACCAAAATTTCATGTACAACACTAAGTGCCAAAGTCATATAGAGTAATTTTATTAATAATTGTTGTGATGTTGATTATAGTAGCTAGCTTCATTATTTATCGATTTTATTGTGACCTAGTGGTAGAAGTGAAGTGAAGTGACGTTCGAGGAATAGGAGATGTGTTCACGTACTATAAAATCTGTTTCAATTCTCCTCGGTCTCCCCTACTTATAAAAAAAATTATTTTTTTAATTTTGTTCGTCTGTATGTTCCGGCTAATCTCCGAAACGACTAGACTGATTTTGACGGGACTTTCACTGGCAGATAAAATTAAAGCTAAAGTTATAAGGTGTAACTTAGGCTACTTTTATTTTAGAAAAACAATTATGGTTCCGTTAAAAAAAATGTTCCTAGGGATGCACCCGAGCGAAGCAATGGTACGTCGCTAGTAATTTAATATAACGGTAGCAATAGGCATAACATTTTATCAATTTTTAATTAACGACTCTTAGAGATAATTATTTTTATTAGGACTTTTATCGATATTGGTTCTCGTTATAAGTTTATCTCAAGTGGTCAAATATCAAGTACGTACTCGACTACGGTAGTATAAAAGGTATGTAAGGATAGAAACGAGTACTAAAGCTCTATCAATTTATAATTATTATAATTTATGAATATTAAAAAAAATCAAGATGAAAGCTTTTTTTATCTTATGTGTTATTTTGTTTTTACTTCATCTTAAAGCGGCAAATGGTGAGTAACTTTATAAGTAAATAGTTTTCAATCAATTTTCTATGTAACATATGTAGAGCAAACTGATCGAAAACTTTTAAAAACAAAAATTAAAAGAAAAATAAACTTTACTTCTACTCTTATTATTATTATATAAATTATTTTGTTATTAATGAAGTATTTATTTAATAATAAACATTTTTCTTAATTACGTGGTACTAACATATGATTTCCTTTTTTTAAATATTTCGGTATTTTTACATTATACTAGAGGCTCACCCACGCTTCGCTCGGGTTTGCCTCTAGGAAAACAAAAACAAACTTATCTCACGAGAACCGTAATATATTTTTCCGGGATAAAAAGTAGCCTATGTGTTATTCCAGACTATAATCTATCTCTGTGCTAAATTTCATCCACATCCGTTCAGCCATTCTGGCGTGAAAGAGTAGCAAACATCCATGCTCACAAACTTTCACATTTATAACCCTTAAATGGACAATGTTGTTTTTAAACAACATACTAAACATCACAGATAAAATTGACCTTCTTTTAATTTTTGTTAATTTTGACAACTAGTTCTTATTTTTGAACGAATTTTGTACTTTTTTTAATGTTGGCACTATCCAATATTTTTATGCATTCAAAATAAGTTAATGTCAAATGTTACTTTGAAGAAAACTTTTCTAGTGGCGCGAAACTAAGTTTTGTAGCTGTGTTCGGACTTTGATAAAATATAATGTAAGTATATAACTTATTTTTATTTGCTTGATTATATCTTCAATTACATGTTCATGTTGTAAAACATTGAAAATCACTTGATGCTACTGTCGAATTAGGCGAAATCTGGTATGTTGTAGGAAAACTACAATGCGCATTGCCTGCTAAATAAATGCATGTTTGGTGAAGGATTTTTATTTTGCTTTTCAGCATGCCGCGATTACTAGAAAGCGAAATTACAAAGTATTTAGAAACTCTTGAAGATTCAGAAGATGGCTTAGACGGGTCAGACTCCGAAGTAGAGGATAAAGGTCACTATTATCAAACAGCTCGAGATGTTCTTCGAGACCTTGAAAATAGTGATGAAGGTGAGAATGCCCAGTCTGATGAAGTGGATGCTGATCCTCCTCTCGTAATCGACAACAATGAAAATATGCCAGACCCTTCTATTTTGGAAGCAGAAGAAGCAGCACCCCAGAGTAGATCATAAGGGATTTCTAAACGACCTCTGGTTTGGCGAAAACGGAATCTCGTTACTGCTGAAGACAGCCTTATTTTTAGGGGAGAAACTCAGATAACGGAAGCATTGATGTCTTGTAACACGCCGTATGATTTTTTTTTTCATTTTATTTTACATCAGATCTAAAAAAGCAAATTGTAGAACAAAGTAACTTATACGCAGCCCAGAAACAAATATCCAATCCTGAAATTATAAATGAAAATATCCTAAATAAATTCCTAGGCATTCTGACTTACACCTCAGTTATAAAATTTCCAAACACCAGGGCTTACTGGAGTGAAAAATTTGGTTATGATCACATAAAAAATACTATGCCGTTAAAAAAATTTGAAAAAATAAGATCCACTCTCCATTTTGCCGACGATACGCTATGCTTGCCCAAAGATCATCCAGACTATGACAGGCTATTCAAAATAAGACCTCTTGAGGAAACGCTCAACTGCCAGTTTGGGAAGGTTCCCTTAGACCAAAGGCTTTCCATAGACGAGCAGATGTGTGCAACCAAAATGAGCCATTACATAAAACAATACATGCCCAATAAACCCCACAAGTGGGGGTTCAAATTATATCTCATCTGCAGTCTACAAGGATATGCTCATAGATTTCAGGTTTACAGTTTAGGGGGCTCCAAAAATAATATCTTACCTGGTGAGCCAGATTTGGGAGAGTCTGGCAATACAGTCGTCAGGTTAGCTAGAATGGTACCACGCAATGTTAATCATAACTTCTATACTTCTGTGCCTCTCGTCACCTATTAAGCTAAGGAAGGAATTTTCTCACTGGGAACAGTAAGAGTAAACCGATTGAGCAACTGCAAATTGCCTGAAAAAAACACTATAATGAAAAAGAACGTACCCAGAGGATTCTATGAGGAAACCTGGCGACTGTGGATGATATTGACGTAAGTGCTGTTGTGTGGAAAGATAACAAGCCCGTTAACCTTCTTTCCACTTACGTAGGAACAGAACCAGCAACCACAGTCACACGCTTTGATAAATCGAAGAAAGAGAGAGTTGCTATTCCATGCCCCAAAGTCATCAAGGAGTACAATGCCCACATGGGAGGCGTGGACTTATTAGATTCATTTATAGGTCGTTATCGCATCACAATGAAGAGCCGCAAGTAGACCATGCGCTTATTTTATCATTTCCTGGACCTCGCAGTTATAAATTCATGGGTTATGTTCAAGAAGGTAAATAATATAAAAGAAAATGATCAACTTCTCAATTTGGGTACATTCAGACTAAAACTTGCTGAAACCCTCAGCAAATTGGGTCTACCTGCAAATGGCGCTAAACGTGGTCGACCTAGTGGGAGCACAATACAAAGAGAACTTGTAATGAAGAAGTTCCGAGGACCAGCTCAAGCAATTCCTTTGAAAGACGTCAGATTGGATCAGACATGTCATTGGGCAGTTTGGATAAGCTGGATAAGCAGCAGAGGTGCAAATTCCCAAAATGTTCAGGCTTTACATCCAAAATGTGCCAAAAATGTCGTGTATCTTTATGTGATACGAAAAAAAGCAATTGTTTTTATAAATATCATAATGAAGAATAAATAAATACATTTCAAAAACAATATCCACTCTTATTTTACCCATACTTGCAAAATCTCAATGAATGCGCAATGTAGTTTATAAACAACACTCACATTATTGCAAAAAAAAGTATAGTAAATTCATGTCTAGATTTTTTTACTCATTTTTCCTAGACAGTAATACATGTCTATTACACAAATATATTTTTTTAAAACGTGAAACAAAAATCGTCCATTTAAGGGATAATATTGAATACGGACTTGTATTTATCACATCACATCACGTTAAATTAGGTAACTAATTTTTGTACAACCATATTTACTCGCTAATTCAGTTAACCGCACTATATTAAATACAAATTTTATCGTTATACGTTATTTTTTATTCTAATAAGGTACAAGGTGTGTCAACATGTGGGATGACGGCTGCGTTAATGGGCAGATTGCCGGTTCAGGTAAAATTTAATCGTTTTGGCGGCTTACAAAGTATTCATGTCTAAACTTTAAAACATTAAAATGTAAAAAATAACTGATAGATAATTTTTATTTACTATAGATTTTTTTTAATTATCATTGAAGAAACACTTCTTTAAAGTACACACTTTATTAACAAAATTTTTATAAGCTGATTACACCAATGTATTTTTCGGGAAAAATTTAAAAAAATGGTATGCTCAAGTTTTTAATTGACGCTTGTCACTTTGCAATTTGACGAGTCGTGAAAAAATAATAAAAGTTGGAATTAACGTAAAGTACATTTGTATTTTTTTGCCGTAGAATTTATTTATGTTTTTACTTTTAGGAATTTATCGATATTTTATATATTTTGATTGTTTTATATTTTGGAGTTCAATTTATAGATTTATTAAAAAAAAATGATTTTAAGATAATTACAGAAAGAAATTCATTCATAGTCTAATCTTGTTTATTCATTAGTTAAAAATATAATTTAAAAAATTTAAGTTGATATTAACAAAATTTAATCATAGTTTTGTGAAAAAATCATAACGAAATGTAAAAAATCGACACAGAGAGTCGGAAATTGAAAAAAATAATTTTTTTTTTCAACGCTTTGCGTCCACCCATTTCTCGAGGGTAGCTGGGCATCGGGAGCATTTTAAGAATTTCTATTCCTTATATACCTGCTAACATTTTAAAATCATAAAACTCCAGGTTTATAATAACATTTTGCTCGCAAACCGGATTCCGATTGGACTATTAGTCAAGAAGTACTGATCTTGTTGTTTTAATTTGATATAAATATTGTAATTATTTAAATAAGTATTTCTGTTTATAATCCTACCATAATTTATTATGTGACTTCTTGCCCCTAATACTGTGATAAACATCCCTTGACACAGGGTTAAAAGTCACCCCCCCCCCCCCAACGTGCGTTCACCTTGTCGTGGTGGGGGGGCTCAGTAGTGCCCGGCAATCCAACCGGGCGCGAAGCTAAGAAACGCACAGGGAGGTTGCCCACTTCGGTGGGCGGTGGGAGGTGGCCCTCTTGGGGGGGCAGTGCACCATGCGGGTTGCTCCTGGTACTTCTCTGATAGCAGAGTGGACCTTGGAGCAACCCCATGGTTGTGGTGGTCTGCTTTGGCAGACCTGCCGTCGGGGCGTCGTAGTTGAATGCGTAAGCGATCCTGCGACGCCCCATTAAGACGGGGGAAGGTTTTGTTGGGTTTTAGTGGGTAGTACTGGCTGTATTACGCCGGTGAGTCCCACACGTCGTGCGTAAATGCATTTCCCAACGTTAAAAAAAAAAAAAAAAAGGGTTAAAAGTCACACTTCCCTTTTTTCACAAAAAATGAAATAAGTCTTCAATAAATAAATGATAGAAGAAAAGCATTTAATTCATTTTAAAGTGGAATACTACATGTTGATATAAAATAAAAAAAAACGTGACATTCAACCCCATATTATATAGAAATTCATATTATTAAGATATTAAAGTAAGTAATCGAGATTTTTTATAATAATTTAGATTATCAAATAAAAAAATACTGTATAGTTTTGGTACCTGTATTTAGTAAACAGCTATGTATACCAGCTCACTTAAATGGTATTTTTTTATTATATCTAGCTTAACTATTCGAGTTTGGTTTCAAGCCCTTAGATAGTTGTAGGTAGAATCTAGTTTATGGAATGGGTTTGCAGGTCGAGACGATGAATTCGTGAATGGCGATTTCAACCCCGGCAAGCGTTGCGTAAACATGTGGGACGAGGGATGCGTGAATGGGCAACTTGTTGGATCAGGTAGAGATTAATAAGTAATTGATCAACTTTTACCTTCTTTTACACGTGTGACATATAATTCAACATTTAATCTACTTAAATTATTTTTGACAAATTCATATTTTAGAGATCTGTTACTTTTTTTTATTTATTTACGAAAACCTGACTATCGAACCCCTTTCCTGCGGAGTTGCCTGTTGATAAAACCACTAACTGCACATTTCTTTCCAAAGGATCATTATGTTCTATATATGTAAATGAGTAATATTTGTTATTGTTACACTTTTGTTCTATTAGATTATTATTTAAACACTAACTGGCTAATTTTAAAACAGGTCGGGACGATGAATTCGTAAATGGTGGATTTAACCCTGGCAAGCGTTGTGTCAATATGTGGGACGAGGGCTGTGTGAATGGACAACTTGTAGGATCAGGTACAGTTACATATTTATATGTATTATAAAATTAAGATCATTTGGGACTCAATAATATTAAATCGAATTTCACAATCGAGTTCAGTTCCTTTTAAAAATTGTATTCATCCATTTTTAACGTCCCACTTCTAGGCACGGGTCTCCCTTCTATGCGAGGGGGATCAGGCCGTAGTCTACCATGTCTTTCGAGAGCTTGCTAGGTTCTATCAGGCATGCATATTTCCTTACGATGTTTTCCTTTACCGTAAGACAAGTGGCAAACAAGTTGGAAATGATTCGCACATGAAAATATCAGAGATACGAAACCCGGCATTTGAACTAGCCACTCTTTCCCGAGCGAGCGTGTTACCACAAGGCTACCATTGCACTATGCAAATATGTATTTGAAATTCTTATGAAAGAAAACTTAACCAAAACTTGAGGTAAGCAGAATGTACACTTTTATCGTGTGTTTTTGTGCAGGTCGTGACGATGAGTTTGTGAATGGTGGGTTCAACCCTGGTAAACGATGTGTGGGAGTAAGCTGCAACGCACATAATTTAGGTATATATGTATTATCAGCTACGTCATAACTACTTTTATTTTAACTAATTTTATTATGTGAAAGTATTCGTTAATTTGTTTTTCTTTCATTGTCCTTTCTAGTAATGAAGTCATGAATTTAAAAGTATAATTTAATAAGACTAAGGTAATTAATAAACTTTCCGATGTTAAAAATAGACATGTTTTTATAGTGTTTCCCTTATATTGACCTTGTCTCGGGGAGGAAAGGTTCTATCAATCCCTCCTACCTCACCTTTTCCGTAAAAGCGTAGTAAAACATCACTCTGTACAGATTAGGTTCAAATCATGGCCTGTAGTCATGCTGAATTTATATTAACATTTTTTCTAGGTAATGACCAGCGACGCACCAAAATAAACAACAGACTCGCCTATTTTCTTACGAAACACTTCAAGAATAACCACAACTAAACAATTACCACTAATCTATTAATTTGACTCCAAATAATACATCCATAAAAAATATAAGCTTAAGTTGTCGTTTTATTTAAAACTTTTGTTTCTATTTATTCCTTGGCGGGTTCACTTCACATGACTTTCCCAAAGAAAATAAAAAAATATATATTTTGATTAGTTTTTATAGATTATTCTTATTTAAATAATTTACCAAGACAATAACGTTAATATAGTCGGTAGTAACGCTCGTGTCCATTTAAAAATGTAGGTAGTTATCTAGCGCCAGGTTTCCCATTTGCCGGGCCGCGACCCGTTACCAGGTCATCAAAATAAAATACCGGGTCGCAACATTCCCTCCTTGTTTTATAAGTTATACCTAATATCGATCGACGCATATAACTATTTGTAAGCGATGAGCGGCGCGCACCCCACGGTCTTTTCAGCTAGTACATTATTTCCTTGTATGAGTTTTAATATGCACGCTTTAGTACGAAGAGTGCTTATTAGATGGCGCTATCTGACAAGCTACGTTTGCTTTTACGCATACAACGAATGTATAGTATATTTGACTAAACAGACATTTCCCAAGTTTTAAATTTTTACAGAATATTATTTATCTAATTGTGTTTATAAGAATTCACTACCAACAGGAAACTATTATAAAAAACATTCTCCATGTGAAAAAGAAATGTATTAAACGGAACGTAATTTCCAAATCTTTCTGTCAACTGTGTCAAGTCACAAGTGTCACTCAAGTTCAGATTTTCTTTCCGTTTGTTTTCGAAACTGCTCATGGTATTTTTTAAGCTTTTTTGTGATATCTCTCGACGACTTCAGCGTGTTTTATGGATTTTGGTGATTCTGCTTCATACGTTTGACCCGTGCTCATTCTTGGACTCCGACGTTTGTGTTTTTCTCTCGTGTACCCCGGCTTCGTCAACAGGACTTCGATTTTCCCTCTCTGAAATGGCTGCAAAAGAACGTTGTTGTGTTCCAAGCTGTGGTAAGCTTTTTTTTGTAGATATATTTTAATTAGATGTAATTCTATGCACTTTAATGCAGTTAAAATCTTTTAAAATGAGTATGACTTATTGTCATTGGTTTATTTATGTTTTTAAATCAATTATCATTAATGGTATGCCCCATAAGGGAGCCCAACGTCAAGCATAACCATTCTACTTCAAATAACATCTTTTCAATAACATTATAAAGAGACCCTCTAAATTTTACCAATAACATAACATTTTCAGGTTCACAAAATCATATCCTGCACAAGTTTCCTCACCCTGAAAAAGAATCTGACCGTTTTAGAACATGGCTATGTGCTGTTGGAGGAGATTTACTGTCACTGGATAACAACTACATTCACAAGTATCGAAGTGTATGCCATTTGCACTTTGAGTCAAGTTACTACACTTGGAGTAAAAGGCTAGCTCATAATGCCATTCCAACTTTCCATCTACCAGGTAGGTGTTTATTATTACATACATAAAGTCACACCTATATCCCTTATGGGGTAAGCAGAGCAAGACAATAAAATAATTGATCCTGATGCCACATCTATCAAGGACTGGAGGATTATAATATAAGATAGTAAATTTTATCAAAAGTGATAGGTTGTTTGCCTATTGCCTACAAAACATCAAACCTAGCAATACTGCTACTGACTTTTACAGTACATTTACATGTGGGTAGAAATGCAGCTAGAACCTTCTATGTTTTTCTTTCACTCCCAGTCCAGCATGGAAGCATTGCCTATTGTTATTATTTATTTAAAAAGTTAAATTATGATGTAAAGAGCTTTGCTACTTTGAAATATATTAATAAAAATTGTTGTTGGATTCTTTGTCAAATGGCAACCAATGGCAAAAGTCACAAATCTTGCGATCCACATCATCAGCAAATTTAAAGAATACTACAGCGGAGTCATCCATATTGGGTTAGTAGTAATATCACTAGAAAAGAAGGGACAACAGTATATATTTTACTCTTTGATGAAATGTCATTGAAAAAACATCTCCATTATAACCCGAAAGAAGATCTAATTGAAGATTATCAAGATCACGGTTGCCAAGAAAGGTCAGCAAACATTGCAGCATATGCCTTGGTATTTATGATCGCGGGAATAAAGAAAAAAGAGAAGCAACCCATAACCCACTACTTTTCAAGTGCATTTTCTACAGCGGACCGATTGGCAGTGCTCATTAAAGAGGTTTATTGTATTTTTAGTCCTTATCTGAAATTAAAAATTATTATTAGCAAATTAGGCATGGTACTGTATACATACTGTTTTAAGTATTATTTTTTCCTTTTCAGGTTTTAAATGAGTGTTTTAATGCAGGCATCAATGTGACTGCTACAGTTTGCGACATGGATGGTGTTAATAGAAGGGCAATGCAGGGCAAAGGCAAGAGAAGATGGACAATACAAGCCCGAACTTTGTTTATGCGCCAGCCTTAACAAAAGATCATCTGAACCCCAATAGCAAACAAAATATTAAAGTGTCATTGGCATGCCAAGTGTTAAATAGCTCGATAGCTGGAGGAATGTATGCTAAAATTAGCTCAGGTGAGTTTTTCTTATTAGCTCACACATTATTACCTAATGAAGAAAATTATACTTCGTGTCTCTCCCAAGGATGATTGTTTACAAGCAGTAGTACGCCAGATTGATGCTGTCCTAATCACACTTTTAAAGCTATATATACTTTTTTTAAGCTTTTACTCTTAAAAGAAATAGTTTCAACTATTCCTTTTTAAATAACCTCTTTAGCGCATCCCACCACGTCATCTTGATTCAACTGTCATTACGCGTTTTTGTGTTATCCGAGTCACAACAATTTTACAAATTTTGTAAAATCAACATGGAAAAAAGAAAGCGACAGGACAATAACAATACTGATATCGGGAGGAAAGTTCTAAAGAAAGTAAAAAAGTAGTTCTAAAGAAAGTAAATAGTGAGTACTAAGAAGAGAATAATATTATCATCGTTGTCTGACGATTCTATAAATGAAATTTTAAAATTAGAATCACTTGCATACTCGCATTATACTGACATTGAATTTCAAGATAATATTTTATTCCAATTAAATAAAGCAAATTTATTACTATTAATATGCCGACGTATATCGTGTGACGTCCTGTGTGTGGATACAATGAAAGCAATTGTCCCGACGTAATGTGTCTGGAGTAAAATTTGTTTTCATTTATATAATTATTAAATGGTAAGTGATACACCTTTATTACTATGAATATGAATATGCCGACGTACATCGTGTGTGCAAATTGTATCCCGACGTCCTGTGTGTGGATACTATGAAGGCAATAATCCCAACGTAATGTGTGTGAATTAAATATTATCGTCATATTATTTTTATATATTTAAATTATAAAATAATAATATTAAATAAATATATAAATATTTAAATTAAATGGGACTCCCAGTGTAATGCGTGTGGAATATTCCCGTATGGTTCTTAGAACGTGATGCATTTTTATAAGTATGAATATTTTCAAAATGTATGTTTGTGTAAAATTTATCCCGACATCCTGCATGTGGATATAATGTACCTATATGTCTTGACATAATGTGTGTGGACTAAAAATTGTCATTACTTATATCGTATAATTATACTGGGTGTCCCCGCATAATGCGTGTTGAATATTCCCGTTCTATTCATGTAATACATTTTTTATTTAATGTTGATATTTATATCTCTCTAGATGCTTATTGATCTTTTCTAGCAATACTCTCTTGCAGAAAATTGTTCACATATGAAGGCACCCTTATTAAATCCGGAGATAAAATCAAATTTATCTGCATTGAATGTTAAAAAGGACTCTTACGGTGAATATAAACAGAACTAAATGGCTAGCTGTATTTCAGCAATAGGGTAAGCACTATATACGGCTTTAACTCTGACGGCTAATGTTTACCGGGTAATTAATTATAAAAACACTAAGTGACGTAGGCTGATTATTATGTGATACCTATAACTCATTACAGAGAGTAAATCTCAAAGTAGAGATACTAGTATAGTAAAACAAATACAAAGCACGATGCCTATTTGTTTGGAGGTATTGTATAAACCTGATAGGTTTGTTGAGTGCGACTGAATTACAATTTAATTCTAATAAATTGAATAACTTGATTAGGAAACAAAGAGCTTTAAACGCAGGGGGGACACCGCGGGACACAAACTGCCGACGCGCGAGTGCTTCTGTACCAAAGTCAGCCTCGACGCCCACCATCAAAGCCAGCGCTAGCTCCCGCGAGTATAGAATAACTATCCGAATCATTAAAAGATTTATCATTAAAAACAGTTACACATTAACATCTGCTGCACAACGAATGCAGAATCTCGATTTAATACAAGTAATTATTTTATATGATTACCTTAGTTTTGTTAATTCTTTGATATGAGTTACAATATCTAAAGGATTTTCAATTTCCATGGCAATAATTTTCATTATTGCAATGGAAATTGGCATTCCTCCAAATAGGCATGCTCTGCATATAGCGATTATTCATCTTCGTAATAATTTTTAGGATTTATGTTTTAGTAAAGGTTTATATTATTTATTTTATTACAATGTTTTGATAATGTTAGAATAAGACGTAAAATATGCAGCATCCACTATGAACAAAAATGCATTTCTCATAGAGGCATTCAAAGAGTAAAGGTACGTTCCAGTTCTATAATCATATTATTCATCGTGGTTTCAAAATTCTAATGTCAATTGTCTACCACTCTTAAGTTCATTTGCTGCGAATTGTTATTGTTTCTATTCATTTACTGCAATTCACTAACGTGATACAATCCTATTGTTATGTATCCTGAACGTATCTGTAAGATTAAGACATTAACGTTTTGCAGTTTGTCGCCTCGACTGAGGCTTGTGATCTATATAAATATAGTAACATAAATCACAACCATTGAGAAAAGCCTTTTTTCTTCACATCTACGACGCACCATACAAGACGTGGTGTTAGGTTGGATGGATCTAGGTGAAATCGTTGCCAACACGTCTTCGAGCGCGACCTAAGTCAACCACGCTTCGCTTTGCACAAGGTATTCAAAATGGCTGTCCCTAATCATCCACCTACAGTTTCAAAAACGATGCCATCACATCGTTTTACAATGAATTTTCATGCCCCTGACTTGACCAAAGCATGGAGAGACTTCCTCATTTCGTTCAGAATTTACATTACTGCACACGACTTAAGCGACGACGAAGAAGACAGACGTAAAGTAGCCATTCTGCTTAACATTTTGGTTTCTAATGCGTTGCCTATTTTCAACTCATTTGACTTAAAACTAGAATCTACGCCTCTGACAACGCTTGTACTGCGTTGTGGGGCATATTTCACTCCGAATGTCAACCCTACGATCGAGGGACACAAACTATTTAACCGCAAGCAGGGAACTGATGACGACATAGATACGTACGCATTAGTTTACAATGCGCCTTTGGTTCACTCATGAAATAACCCGCGATATATTCTCCTGGAACCTATATTCATAATGTACTTTTATCAAATAACGGATACTGGTAGAAAAGCCTAAGACATTTGAAGATGCTGTGCAGCTAGCGAAGACGATGACGAACACCAAGATCAACACAAAGAAAATCACACTAGGTATCAATAAAGAGATGGTAGCAAGAATACATTCATCAACAGAATACATTCATCAAGCAACCATTCAAGACAGCCATCAAGATCATGAAGCCGTTCCCGGGACAACTGCAACCAATGTGGTTCATCGAGTTTGTTGTCCAGCTATAGGAGTTACCTGCAAGTCGTGTCATAAAATAAATCATTTCTTGTGCGCGAGTGTGTGCGAGTTCTCGCCGTCAAAATAATGTCAGTGTTCTTTTTTCTAAAGTTGTCAGAAGCAAAAGTTAAATTTGAAATTTTTATGGTCCACAAATTTAAAAAAAATTGTCAGTGAAGAATTTTCAAATATATCTATAATAAATATCTGAAAATAAATAAGTATAATGATAAATTTTTATCGATTTCAGGAAAAATGGTTTCAACTAAATGGAATAATATGCGAGATTCGTGGATTAAGACAATAAAGAAACAAAAAGATGAGTCAAAATCTGGATTTTTGGCCAAAAAGACACGTAATTATGGACATCACAGACAATTGATGTTTTTGAAAAAAGTAACCGAACCTAGACCCCCTGATAAGTCAGTTCCAAAGAAAGCAAGAACCGAGCCTGAAATAGGCATGGAACCTTCTTCTGCCGGAAACACACATTTTCATTTACCATCTAAAGATAAAAGAAAAATTGATAATAAAGAGGTAAATGACAAGATGGTAAAGTTTTTGGGCTCTAGAATAAACCCAGAAAAGGAATACCATCATCTGTCTTTATTCAAAGGTAGGTTTCAGTACAGGTGCAGATGTTTTATGAAATAAATTAAATCTATGCAACTAAATCGAGAAGAAGCAAACAGCGACAAAGAAGAAGCAAACGAGGCTAGTGAAGCTAAGAACAGGTTAAAAACTGTACATAGCTGAAAAAATTCTGAACTCCGAAAGGATTTTCTGCGCTGGCGATTAAAGAAAAGTATTTTAAATGGAGGTAAAAATATTCAAACATTAGTAGAGCAATTTTATGAAGACGATATCAATAGCCGTATTACTGCTGGAAAGAAACAGTGTATTAAAAAACATGGCGTAAAGAAACAAAAGCGATATTAATTGGGCTCTATTAAGAACCTTCATAAAAAGTTTCTGGAAGAACATACAAATATACGAATAAGTTATGTTACTTTCTCACGGCTTCGTCCATTTTGGGTTTACCTTCCTAGAGATGACAGAGATACTTGTGGTTGAACAGCTCATACAAACATGGATCTATTAATCTCGGCTTTGAAAAAGAATATAGTAGGGGAGCCCAAGAGGGGATTTTCTGTAGTTACTCCAGCGCGGCAGATTAACATAAAAGAGGTTACCTTGCACTCTATTGAGTACTTTCACCACAATATAAGTCTTCTATATAAAGGGGCGCGTCTAGGGAAGCCGATTAAAATATTTAAAAAATGTTTTGATAAGGTAGAAATACTTGAAACCGTCAGATTAAGGTGTGGTAGGCTAGTCACATCCTGAAAAGTGTCCAATTCAATAATCTGCCGATTTGCACAAGCCGAAGAGGCAAAAATCATCATAAACTTTATGTTAGACATAACTAACTTTGAAACTATGTTGGACGCACTATGCTGCGACAAGTATAACATTAAGTGCGTTTCTCGTAAATGCAACAATTGTAAAGATAACAGCCACCTAGATTTCATTAATGCCAATGTCACAACTTCCTACAATATTGTAGTATAAAAGGCATTACTTGGCTGCATCTTCACTGATTTGATCTAACATCGATCGACAGTCATTTTAGTAGTAAGAATTTTAGTTAATAAATTAATTTTAAGTTAAATTGCATTTCTTTGCATCCCCTGGCTGCCTCCAAAAATATAACTTACGCTTCCTACTCGTACTATACAATGTGAACTCACGAAAGTAGAAGCTTACACTTTAGAACGTAAAGATTCCATTAGTGTAGCGAAGACATTTGTAGAAAATTTTATTTTACCATATGGAATTCCTCGTGAAATAGCTACTGATAGGGGTGCTGAATTTATTTCGGCCACAATGAAAGAAGTATGTAGGTTGTTAAATGTAAAACAATTATCGGCTACCGCATATCATCACCAACCCATAGGTTCGCTTGAGAACACTCACAGAAATTTAAATTCATATCTTCGTATACAAACCAATAATGAGTCTAGAGTGTGGAGTACATGGGTACCGTTGTGGTGTTTTGCATATGACACTATGGTACATACGTCAATTAAATTTACATCCTATGAATTGGTTTTGGCAAAATATGTATATTACCTAGTAATCTTTCAGAAAATGTTATTATTATGTTTATATAATTATGACGATCATCCTCTATCATTAAATCGAGATTACAATAATCTCAAGAACAAGCTAGAAAAAAATTAGTGTTGTCTAAAGAAATAAGAAAAACAAATTAGGATAAATATATTAATCCAATTGTTTGTAAAAAAGATGATCTAATTTTGTTAAAAAATGAGATAGGCAATAAATTTGCAAATGTGTTTAATGTTCCTTATAAAGTAATAGAAAATTTGTCACCTAATATAATTTTTTTAAAAGATGACAAGGTTAAAACATTACATAAAAACAATACCAAATTGTTTAAATCTTAAGTTGTTTAATTGAAGTCTTATTAAAATATTAACATTATCGTTGGCTCTGATTTAAAAAAATGTATGGTTATTTTTTTTCTATAAGGCGGAAAGTGTGGTGTAGATGTAAGTATAAATAGAGTAAGTTTGTAATAGTAGGTTTATTATTGAACCAGTACTCGAAGCAACACATCTCTTGCCCACCCTTACAATGATACAAATATTCAATCCATATAACATTTTAATGTATTTGCATAATTAGGTTTCGAATAAATTGTTTAAGTTTGTTTATATAATTATTATATGTTTTTATTTGAATGTTGTGTACAGATATAATTGGACAACAAATTTAAAATGATATTTTTAGTTTTTAATACGTAGATATATTTTTTTTAATTTGTTTTCTGTTTCTGTACTTAATAAAATAAAATAAATACATAATTAAAACATTTTTAAATCGAATACGTCGCCAATTGATGACGCAATTTACGCGCATACGTACGAGCAAGGCTGATGCCAGCCGTCCCACGAGTGTCGCAAGCATGCGAGCTAACTAAGCTAATTGAAGAAATTAAGAAACGATTGCTACAAACTGAAAATGTTAATGTCCTTGCAGTCGCCACTCTCTTGGATCCTCGTTTCAAAAATATACATTTCCAAAATGCATTAGCCTATTCCAGTCATTAGGAGTATTAAAGAATTAACTTCAGAAATTGAGATGGCTGAACAAATTGAAAATGATCAATTGGCGGGGAATTCCACTTCACAAGTGGAAGAAGGTCACGCTATAGATATATGGAAAGATCATTATAAACTTGTTAACGAAAAGAATAATATTTTAACTGGTCAACGTCACGTATATGCCTACGGAATTAAAATATTATTTAAAAAGCCCGGTAGCTGATTTAAAACAAGACCCATTACTTTTATGGAATGTGCTAGAATCCTCTTCCCCAAATTTAAAGAAAATAGCTATTAAATATTGGTACTGCACAGCCACATCCACAGCTTCAGAAAGGCTTTTTTCAAAGCTGGCCAACTCCTGTATCAGTAGCGGAAAAAACTAAAGGGAAAACACCTGACAAAGTTAATTTTTTTACAGAGTTTGCCCAAAAAATACTGGGAATGTTAATTATTTTGTATTTTCAATAATAATAAACACATTTATTAAATAAAACTGACAGTTTAATTTGCTACCGAAAACATCGATGTTTTTAGACATCGATATTTTTCAAACGATATTTATCGCACATCGATACTTTTGAATCGACGTTAACATCGATGTCAACATCGATGTTTTTCTAATATCGATCATCCTACCCAGAGCTGAGTAAACGAGCGTTGAAACGCCCCCCACAACAAGCGTTGTGGGGGGCGTCGCCGGGTACGTAGCGGCAGACGCTATCGTCGAATATTATTTGACGAGCGCAGGCCTGTTTCCACGTATTTATGAACTGATTTGTAATAATTGAAAATAGATTAATTTCTAAAAAGATCAACAGAACCGTCATCTTCTAGCGGGAGTAGTGAAACTAAAACAAAGAAAAAACCTGTTTATGGCGACAACTATTTGAAATTCGGATTTACAGTGAATAAAACAGAGAATAAAACGCAATACGTTATTTGCTTGTAACTTTATCAGAACTTTATAAGAAGAGAAAGTATGAAGCCATCAAAGTTGGTACGCCACATCAACACAAAACATCCAAATGAAAAAATAAACCCGTGAATTTTTTTCAGACAAAATTCTTCTTCAACATCAAAAAAACTGCTATAGTACAAACGTTGGACATTTGTACTTTAGCAGTTTTTGTCATCATTTTCAGTCATCTTAATGAAAAATTAAAAATTAAAGCGTTGCTAACTAGATACTGAGTAGCCCTTCGTGTGCCTAAAGTAGAAAAACCTCACACTATTGCCGAAAATTTGATTTTACCAGCGGCTTTTGATATAGCAGAGTTTATGTTTGGCAAACAAAAGGTTGAAAAGCTCAAAAGTATACCTCTCTGACAATTCTATTCAACGCATGATAAGCGATATCGCGACTGACGTTCGTGATTCAAGTCATAGAAAAAATAAAAGAAAGTACTTTTGTATCCTTGGAATTTGATGATGTGACAAAAATCGTGAAAAGTTTTTAACATTTTTTTACGATGTCTATATTTTGATAACGATTTTGTATTTTGGTTTAAGTTATATATATTTCGGAAGCTCATTAACTTAAGATTTATTATATATATTTGGTTCAATTGATTTCTGTGTATTTGTTTCTTGATTGTGGATTTAATAAAAATTAGGAGGTTTTTTTATACTGAGGAGATTTGAAACGGTTGTTTCAACTCTCCTCGTTTTCTATTTTGTATCAGACAGCAGTCAATAAATAACGGGCACAAAATAATGTTTTTTTTTTTGGTTTCAGCATGCCTACTGTTATAAAAGAAAGACTGACAGAGGTATGGCGAGTCGCGAAATATTTGATCTCGTCGCAGAAGTTTTTGCGACAGAAAAGTCTCCGTGACGCGGCTTCGAGTTACAACCTGAACCACACCTCCCTCTGCAGGTATATTAAAAAAACTGCTCATGAAGCTAACGAAACGGCGACTTTTTTTTTATGTCGGGAAATGCATTTACACATACCACCTGATCCCCCAGGTGGTGATGTGGGGCTCACCGGCTAGAAGAGCCGGTACTACACACTAAAACCCGACATTCCCCTCCCCTCCGCCTTAATGGGACGCCGCAGGATCGCTTGCGCATAACTACTACGGCGCCCCGGCGGCAGGTCTGCCTAAATAGGCAGACCACCAAACCAATGGGGCTGCTCCACAGTCAACTCTGCTACGCCAGAGAGGTACCCGGAGCAGCCCCATTAAACCTAACCACCGCCCACCGAAGTGGGCCACCTCCAATCGGCTGCAGAGGACAGGGAGAGCGGCAACGAAACACTGACACTCCTCTTCCCCTGCAGCCCCACCGCGTCCGCCATCAAACGGTGGCGGCCCCGTCTAGGCCGCGGAAGGTAGCGAAACGGCGACTGCCCCAACGGTTGGATATCCCGAAAAGACTGTTTTTACAGTTTCAGAGGAGAACGTACTCTGTGACTATCTTTTAAGCTGCGCTGCAGCTAACTTTGGCCTTAGAACTAAGGAAGCCAGAACTTTTGCCTATAGGTTGCCTGTAGAATATAACAAAAAAACTCCTTCTTCTTGGACTGAGCATGAAATGGCTGAAGAGGTTTGGCTTCGATCTTTTATGAAATGTTATCCTGTTCTTTCTCTGAGACTACCTCAACCTACTAATATCGCTCGAGCTATTAGTTTTAATAGAACAAACGTGCAATTTTTTTTCAAAATTATACCGCAGTAGTTGACAAACACAAGTTGCAGGGGATAATATATGGAACGTTGACGAATCTGGCATAACAACTGTTCAAAAACCAGACCGCATCATTGCCCGACGAGGACAGAAACAAATAAGTGACATGACTTCTTCAGAGAGGGGAACATTCACTTATGGTACTTTTAACTACTTTAAGAATTGATTGGTTGTATTAGGCCTGTAGTTAACTACTTAACTGATATATCAGTACAAAATATTATTAAAAAAGTTTGTTTCGTACTTGAACATTTTTATTTTAATAAATACGTTTAAATAATAGGTATCATTTTTATTTTACATCCCTTAATACTTTTCAAAAATCATATGTTTCAACTGTCCTCGTCCCCTGTTTCATCTTACCTCGGTATGAGGGGAGTTGAAATAAGTTGACTTGTTACAGTTACGTCAATTTTTACCACAATATTTACGCTTACAATTTCTTAAAACGTTAGTCATTTGCAAGTCTAAAGAATGGCCTGTCGATTGGTACTAATATCATACGATTTCTGTCTATAGTATTTGGTGTATGAAACAAAATGTCAAAATTGTTTCAACTCCCCTCGGTCTACCCTACTCATATAGGATGAGGAACAATTACTTTTTAAATGGATTCTGTATATGGCAGACAAACTTTTCCCAGTCACGAAATATCATCTCCTACTCTCGTACAAAAAATATCACGGAAAAAACACTTGGAAAATTGATCTTTTACTAACAATAGAATAGGAAATAAATGGCACGGTTCTTTCTTTAAAAGACATCCAAAACTTTTAAAAAGAGCTACACAAAATCTAACAAAAGCTAGACTGAGAAAGAACTAGTAAATTGGTTTGACTAATTAAAATCTTATTTCGAAAATCAATGCTTATTAGACGCCTTAAATGACCCAACACCAATTTACAATACTGATAAGAGTGCATTTTATTTACAACCTAAATCAGCAAAAGTTATTGTTCGTAAAGGAGAAAAATATGTTTACAGCTCTTCAGGTGATGAGAAAGCACAAATTAGCATTAAATTCACATAATAAACAGTAAAGAAAGCGCGGCGTCCTACCCACTAAAACCACCACGGTGATCCCGATCGCAAAAGACAGGGCCACGGGATCGCTTGCGTATTTTCACATTCTCGCCGGTTCTTCTCAACAGAACTGCTTTCCGAGCCGGTAGTAGCTTACTCAAAGACTGACTACACTGACGCTTTCATTAAATTGACGATTCAAAAGCACTTGCAATAAGTCTAATTGAATAAAGTTTATTTCATTGCATTCGTTCGCGAAGGAAAAGGCACTTCGTCTTCGGCGTCCACAAGGTCTTCGCTGTCGACATGTGCTAGCTGCCGAGAATGGTCTAAATGTCCAGAATACTTACCAATCTACTCCGACTTTTAGTCCCTCGGATTTCTCGTGCAAGGTGAAGCTGATATTGACTCTCTGGGTGGATGATGATGATGTTCTCCCGACCGATTCCGGCCACGGCGGCCAATCTCATTGAGACTAGCCAACTGCGCAGGAGATATTATAGTGCTCAAGTGTACGCGCAGACACAAGTGCACTCTCTATTCCTGTCACTCTCATACTCCGGTGGGACGACTGCTCGACACGACCAGTGAGAGTTAAGGCGCAGGACCGACGGCTTTACGTGCTCTCCGAGGCACGGGGGTGAAACACCGCCAACTTCCCAACTCCGGGCTGTTACTGAGGCTTACTTATACAGAAAGACTCAATAACTAAACTTGGCCCGACCCGGGACTCGAACCCAGGACCTCCGGGTGTGCAGCCGTACATGCTAGCCACTACACCACGGAGGCAATAGTGCCAAGTCACAACGACTTGTGATCCGCCACTTAAGTTGAAGGATTAGATTCATAAAGAGAGCCGCGAGCAGTAACAGAAGATTTTGATTAATTTCAATTATGACTGCAACAAAACAGAAAATTGCTTCGATAATATTAATGCTCTTTGTAAATCCTGGGATTTGTATAAGCGACAGCAGACAAAATGAAAGGCCAACAAATACTGATTATGCAAGAATGGAAAGTGGATCATCTGCAAGCTCAATTACAATTTACCCAGAAAGAAAAAAGTGGAAGGATACAGCAAAAAAAGTTTGTACTGGAGTCGCGGGTAGTGTTGCAACGGGTGCTGTATATTATATTATGAAGAAGATATGATTTGTGTTTGTTCAACAAAATTGCATTTTGTTTAGTTATGTATAAATCCGTAATAAGACCTGTCTTTATGGATTAAAATGCTGGGCTGTGTGAAAGACTGATGAAAAATTGCATGCTGATTGGATGTGTGAAGTGAAGAATGGAATAAAAAGGAATACATGAAGAAAATAAAAAAGAATGAGTACATAAGAGGAAGCTTGAAAGTAGCGCCAATGATAGAAAAGTTGAAATAAAATCGTCTTAGTTGTTATGAACATTTAGTCCGGGAGGCAGCGTTGCAAATGACACAATCATTTCAGGTCAATTAAATTATGTCACAATCTGTTCTTTATAAGTAGTAATTCAGTCATCTACACGTCAGCAGGTCCAGGAGGGGTGGACCAGGTAGTGAGGAAATTACGATTGTGTACAAATAAAGATTTCCACAAGTATTTTCAGGTCGCTTGAAATTTTTAATAATGATTATTTAAATAATAATAAAACTAAAAAAGACATTCCGCAGTCAAGATAACGGTGGATTATCCGTCAGCAGCCTCAGTAAACGTGTATCAAAAACATTTAATTCAATTTTATATCAGGTCGGATGAAACTAACATATGTTTTTGTTAATACTATTACAAATAATAATATCAAAGTCAGCAGGTATTCTCATAGGGGGAAGATCGTCAGCAGGGGGTTTAAAGTTGTCGAGCGTGCAGTTAATGCTAGTTAAATGAAATATTTTGTATTGATCTGCTGACAATTTTTACCCTTTTCGATAGTATGCTGATCCTTTTTTTTATGAAATATATTGTTTCAACAATCCTTACCCTTCATATCAAGCCACCTGAAAATAATTTATTCAAAAAACTATCGTTTCTATCACTTTCTGCATTTCCATATGATTTGAAGGAATGAGGATGTGTCTTGTTCCTGAATAAAACAAATATTTGTCGTAGAATTTTTGTGGAAGTTTAATTTGCAGAGACCTTCATAATCTTTGTGCTCCATACCTGCGCGTTCCTATAAAAATTACCTGCGCCCTTACCTACGAACATTAGGGTCTTTTATTGTACTTTGGATTCTAAGAATTAGAGTCCGCTCGTGCAGCTGGCGTGTTTTTCAGTAGTAGCTTTTATTTAGTTTCTCAGTTCGATTTTAGCTTTTGACGCGTTAGCTTGTGGAACGATCAAAATGTCGAAAGAAATTAAACCATTTTGTGTGTTTTGTTTTAAGAAAAGTGAACTTTTAAAAACTTTTCCGGATGATATTTTAAAAAAGTGTAATGAAATTTTGGTTATTCGAAAAGAATACAAACTATCAATGAGTGATGCTAAAGTTCCTAAAGAATGTAACGATTATCAAAAATATCATTCTAAGTGTTATAAAACATTTTCTGCGTTACCGCCAAATCATAGGGGTCTTCTTCTATCGAAGTTATCATCAACATCAAGGTATGTTGCACATATTTTAATAATTGTTGCTCATAAACAAACGTTTCAATTAAACATATATAAATTGATGTGTCGCATTTTGTATTGCTACGTCTATGGTGTTAGAAACTAGTATGGCCTTGAGTTTTGGAGCAGATGAACGCTTTTTCTTTCATTGAATACGACAGAATCTAATGGTGGTGGGAACATCGACCTGATTTGAAATGTGCGCATGCGTTTATAGTTTTCTGAAAAATTCAAAGATAAATGACAGAAAAAAATTGTTTAGATTTTAAACTTTCGAATACAACTTTCGCTGCTCCGCCTACAATCCAGGTAGTTACTACGAAAACCCCAATATAACACCGAGTGAACGAGACAAGCACTGAATGCATATTCAATGAGTCCTTTTCTTTTTACTCCAAAAAATTACAGTTTGCTTATCCCCTATTAAAATCATAGAGAAAAAAGAAGCTATATACTTTTATGATGCTCAAAAGAAATTCTTGAAGTTCAGTGGAATTAATAGACAGTATTTTTAATTTATTAGCTACAAAGTCGCACGAGTTAATCTTTTTAATTAATGCATGTCCTATAACAATTAACACGGAACTTCTTTATTTTAAATAAGTATTGTTTACTAACTTTCATTTCTTTTTTTTCTCTTTCACTTTGTCATTTGTTGTATAATGTTGCATAAATGCAGAATATTTTTCAATATAACCATATTTTTGTAGCTTGCAAGAAGAACCAGGACCAAGTGATTCATGTCCAGTTACTCCAAGTACTAGCGCATGTAACGAAGGAGATGCTGATTCTGATGCAAGCTATCATAGTGTTGGAGAAAAATCGATTGCGAATGATGAAGAAGGTAATGGAGCCACTGTTATGAATACTTCTGCGGAAGAAATAGAAGTATCAGGTACAGAAGGTACTGTAGAAGAAAGCTCTAGCACAAAGAAGGATTCGGTTTGTATATTTTGTAATAAGAAACGAAAGAAATTTCGCAATCGTGAACAAAATTTACAAACGTGTTTAATGAACGATGCTGTTAATTCGCTTAAAAGCGATGCAAAGGAAATGGGTGACGACAAATTATATCAAAAAATTGTAGAAGCATGTGACAATAACGAGATTATTTTTTACCATAAAATATGTCGAAATAACTATATGAATGCAGCACAATCACATATTACTGCCTCAAAAGATATTAAAACCGATTGGCATGTATCTCGTGACATGCATAAGAAGGCTTTTGAAGAATTATGTCAATTTGTAACTAATAACATAATAAGAAAGAATCAATGTTACTTTCTATCATTTTTAAAAAATTTATTTATAGATTTTGCAAAAAGCCAAGATATTAATTCATCAACGAACTTAGAGCCATATAATTTAGAATCAAGATTACTCGAAGCATTCCCGAAAAAAATCAGCATAATTAAATGTAATAATCATAAAGTTGTAAAACCGTATCACGGTCATTTCATACAAAATGATTTGGATACATTAGAAAAACAAGACATTTTGGATCGAGCTGCTTTGATTTTGAGATCAGAAATAAGACAAATAGAACGGAAACCCTTAACTGATGAACCCACCGCGAATGACCTTATTAAGGGAGAATGCGATATTCCACCTGTGCTTATGGATTTTTATTCCAAATTAATCTGATCCAGTTTTCGTCGAAAAAATAATGTTAATGTTCACAGATTAGCTCAATCTTTCTCTGCAGATATAATTTACGCAGTGACTAAAGCCAAAATAAAGCCGTCAAAGCACATTGCTTTAGGAATGGCACTAAAAGGTTTAACAAATAGCAAAAAAATTATCAATATTATCAATAAGTATGGACACAGCTGTAGCTATACCGTTTTAGAAGAACTAGAAACGGAAGCGACATTTGGTTCAGCACAACAGAATTTTGTTTGCCCTGAAGGTATTATCCGCTCAAAAAACTTATGCACAGGTGTGGCATATGATAATTTCGATAGGTTTGTGGATACCTCAAGCGGCAAAGACACATTGCATGATACCGTGGGTATAATATTTCAAGATATTAGCAATTTCAATGAAAGTAATTCTAATAATGTAATAATGAATGTGGCTGAAGAATCCGACAATACACCTCAAGAATTGAATGAAATACGTGAAGAAATTAATGAAGCTCCACAACAACATCAGCAAGAATTAAATGAAACAACTGATGAAATTAATGAAGCTCCACAACAACATCAACCGTTAGGAATAACACGAAGAAGGCGACGCACTTTTGATGCCGTGACTTTTGAAATTGAATCATACAACAAAAGGCCAAAATTACGCGAAACTCTTGAACCAATAACAAGCTCATTACGTTTACAGATTCCAACTTATATTTCAAAGTTTGAGCATATTGATCTTGCTTGGATACTTCGCCACTTTATCGACAAACCCCGTATACCGTCATGGGTAGGATTCAATAGCATTTTCCACGAAAGTACAAGTTGTAAGCAAAAAATTGCATATCTGACAACAATTAACTCATCACCTACCAACTCTTCCGTAGTCCTGGAAACAATGAAGCAGGCTCAACAAATCGCACTTGAATGTAAAGAACCTTATATGGAGATAACATATGATTTAGCAATTGCTAAGGTCGCTTTACAGATCAAAAGTACAGAAAAACCACGATTTGATAATTTGTTTATCCATTTCGGGTCTTTTCATATTATGATGGCATATTTCAAAGCAGTAGGTAAGTTTATCGATAATTGTGGCATCTCAGATTTGATGGTTAACTGTGGTTTACTTGCAAGCGGCTCAGTCAACAGTTTTATAACGGGAAAACATTTCAATCGCTGTAAAAGATTACATCCTCTACTATCACTTTCTCTTCAAATATTACATTTCGAAAGATTTATTGACGAGAAAAAAATCCAAATATCTGACAATATAAAGGAAACATTACCAGATTTCGTTACAAAGAAAACTGCTGATCCAACAATTGTTGATAAAAATTAAATGCATTGTTAGAGGAATATAAAATATACCAACAAGCGACGCTGAATGGCGAACACGGGAAAACAGCACAGTTCTACATGATTTATATCCAATTAATCAATTACTATTTTCTATTGAGCCGAAGCATTCGAAAACCAGATTTGCAATTGTTTCAATACATATTGCCTAAAATAACGAATATTTTCTTCAGTTTTCATCAGTTTACTATATCATGAAAATTTATTGAAAGTAAGCATAACTCATCCTGGATTAGAATTACAGTTTCAAAAAGGATCCTATGGAATAAAAAGAACTGATAAGCCATTCTCGAGACAGCCAGTTGACCTAACATTAGAGCAAACAAGCTTGGAGAAAAATATAGAAATGAATGCCCCTGAAGCATGTGATGTAATAATTTATGATGGATTTTTCATATGACACTCAATGACTGACATTCCAGCAACATTTGGCAATATTTCACAAAAAATACTTACAACTGTAACTAGCACTACAGCTCGTACGATTATAATAACGTTTGATCGCTATTTTTGTCCATCAATTAAAGATAACGAAAATGCAGTAAGAGGTACGATTTTTGGTGAACATTTCAATATTAAAAGTCGAGATCAAGTACGACCATCAAATTTTACAAATGAATTGAAGAATATCAACTTCAAAAATGCACTCATCAAGTTTCTCTGTGAAGACTGGGAAAATAATTATATGGTTCCATTCATTGGTGTAAAGACAATTTATATAAACTATGAATCCTGTCACATGTACCAAGTACAGAATGAAAAAATGATAAGAAGCATAGTACCAGAATTAGTCTGCTCAGCTCACGAAGAAGCTGATACAAAAATGGTCTTTCATGTTTGTAAAACAGATTTTGATGCACATGTCACCATAAGATGCTCTGACACTGATGTTTTAATAATATTGTTGAGCAATATGCAACATATTAGAAAGAATGTACAAATAAACATTTTACATGGAAGTGGTAATACAAAGAGATACATAAATGTAACTAGATTATACGAAGTTCTAGGAAGAGACTTATGCTCAGCATTACCTGGATTTCATGCGTTTACAGGATGCGATTTTAATCCAGCATTATACCGACGAGGCAAAATATTTCCATACAAAATATTGTCAAGTTCAGAAAAATACATAAAAGCTTTTTCAAATCTTTCGGACTTCACCAATTGTGATAGACAAGAAGTTCTGAAAATAATTGAAGAATTCGTTTGCAAAATATACAGCTTTAAAAGCATCAATGATGTAAATGTTGCACGAGTTGCTACATTTACAAAAGTTTATCAAATGAATTTAAAAACAGATTTATTTACATTCAAAAATACAATCAATGGAGCGACATTTCCGCCATGTAAAACGGAATTATATCAACAAGTTCTGCGTGCAGCATACATAGCTCATCTTTGGAGTCACGCTCATTTAACAGTTCCAACAGCATTTTCACCGACAGACTATGGATGGGAACAAAAAGATGGGAAATACGAGTTCAAATGGTTTGATGGTGATCAACTTCCACCAAGTATCCAAAGTGTCACAGGAGGTGTCAACACTACAGGTATTTATAAATTTCTGCAAATTTCAATAGGAATCTAATCAACAGCTTATAAAATAAGCAGAAAAAAATAATTAATTTTATTTGTGTTCAGATGAAGCAGAACGAGAAACAGAAGCTGAAAACATCGAAATTGAAGAAACTGAGGAACAGGAAGAAAAAGAAAATGAATCAGTTTTTGATTCTTCTGATGATAACAGTGAAGAAACTGAGTATGAATCAGACTCTTCAGTGGATAGTAGTGGTGAAGATATTAATGATTAAACTTTTTTGTAACTGTAGTATAGTCATCAAATAAAAAATATGTAAATCAAAATATATTTTATACTATATTAACACATTTACATCATATCCTTTATCCTACGCACGTTCCTCTGATAGCAGATATATGTTAGATATGGAAAGTGATAGAAACGATAGTTTTTTTGAATAAATTATTTTCAGGTGGCTTGATATGAAGGGTAAGGATTGTTGAAACAATATATTTCATGAAAAAAAGGATCAGCATACTATCGAAAGGGGTAAAAATTGTCAGCAGATCAATACAAAATATTTCATTTAACTAGCATTAACTGCACGCTCGACAACTTTAAACCCCCTGCTGACGATCTTCCCCCCATGAGAATACCTGCTGACTTTGATATTATTATTTGTAATAGTATTAACAAAAACATATGTTAGTTTCATCCGACCTGATATAAAATTGAATTAAATGTTTTTGATACACGTTTACAGAGGCTGCTGACGGATAATCCACCGTTATCTTGACTGCGGAATGTCTTTTTTAGTTGTATAATTATTTAAATAATCATTATTAAAAATTTCAAGCGACCTGAAAATACTTGTGGGAATTTTTATTTGTACACAATTGTAATTTTCTCATTACCCGCTCCCCTCTAAGTGTGCCTGCTGACTCTTCATTCAGTTGTTATCTATATTTCAACTGTTCATTACACTAAAAATTAGCTGACCTAAAATCACTAGCTTAATGCAACGCTGCCTCCCGGACTAATTGATGGGGAGGGATAAAACGCATGTGATAAGAAAAGCGACGTGAATGAATGTAGATGGACGGAAAGGGAGAAGATGACTGAAGAAAGATGGATTGATGATGAAAGACAGTAGATGAAAAAGAAAGCGGTGAATGATAATGTGACGATTAATAGGGAAGAGTAAAAAAGAAAGACGAACTGCGCCGACCTCAAGTAACTTGGGAAATAGGCAGGAGATGATGATAAAAGTATTTAAGAAGAAAATTAAAATTTTTAACTTTGAAGATTTCAATTAATTCATAATATCAATCAATCTCATGACTGTATGCTATTACAACATGGCAAAGATAAATTAAAGTGAAAGAGAGATAGCGCGTTAGTTCACTGTTTGTTGTCATGGTAACCGTTGTTATTATCTGACAAATGATATATAATATTATATTCTTTTCTTCTTTTCTTTCCATTGCAACCACTTTTACATAGGTGCCAGGTATTTTGAAGGTCATGACCTCTTGCCTTATACCATGTTTAACCTACGCTTGCCAGACGTGGAAATTTAACCAAAACGTAAGACATAGAATTACAACTTGCCAACGCGGAATGGAACGCAGTATGTTGAATATAAAGAAGATACGTAAAATACGGCATTCAAAAATACGTATTACCACTAAAGCAACGGACGGTCTAGCACAAGCTCTTGCATTAAAATGGAAGTGGACATACATGTGGCACGGCTTTAAGATCAGCGATGGACAAAATGTGTGACTGCATGGAATGGACCAGTAGGAAAAAGAAAGAAACGGAGACCTCGAAACAGATGGGAGGACGAAATAAAACGCATAGCGGGTCCCAACTGGATGCAATCTGCTAAATCCAGAGAAGACTGGCTCACTTTGGAGGAGGCCTTTACCTGCAAAGCGGTTCTTGCTGAATAGAGAACCATAGATAGTTTTAAGTTAGAATTAAACATTTACAATATAAGTTAGAATTAATCATTCAGAATTTAATATATTTACGAGAAAATTTATAACACTAACTGACTTAATTTATTTTTAGACTTAATTATATTTATTTTTAAAATACTTTTGTTGAATTTAGTATAATAAAAAATATTTAGCTTTATTGAAGGTATCATATTAAGTATATGGACTAAGAAAACAGTGTATTAACTTAGAAACGATTTTTTCATTTCAAGAAAAAGTAAAACTGCATTGAATAACTAATAAAAATCTTATATTTAAATAAAATCAGTGCTCTCTGCACTATTGAGTAAGAAACAAGTTACAAAAATATTATAATTTGTCAATTTAGAAAAACCAATTTACAATTGCTGAACACCTTCCCAACAATCATTATAATTAAAGAATATGTACTCATTATTTATTTATCAAACAGCTGCTAAAATACAAATATTTTTTATGAAAATTGTCACAATGTTGTTTTTAAACTGGGTGACATACATATCATATGGACTTCGCAGGAATCTTTTTTTTTTTAATTAAACCCAAAAATCGAACCTATTTCATTATAGTTGAAAACTGAAATTTTAGCCTGATAGGTCCAGTAAATATATATAATTAATAAGCTATCAAAAGTAATGATTTAGTCACCAGACAAATACATTATAATTCTTCACATGTTCTATCAAGTATAAAATTCAATTTTCTATCTAATTTTTTAATTGAATATGTTGTTTTTTTTATCTAATATGCACTAGATTTTTATTTTATACTAAATCTAAGAGTGATATGGCACCAGTATACCCAAAGAGAATTTGATGAAAAAAATTAGCTGAATACATAAATTGTCTCAACATTGTATATTTGATTGAAAGATTTTATAGATTCAGGTTCAGATATTGGAACAAACACTGTGTAAGTACTAAATCAGCAAAGATTTCATTCAACCTTGGACAAAGATATTTCACTAATATCTTAACACTCAAAAACTGGACAAATGGCAGACATAATAAGTATATAGTTATACTACTTTCACTGTAGCATGGTGCGGGCGACATTAGACAAACCATTTCTTTTCACTATCACACGAAAATCATTTTCGTGTGATTTACTGTGTATAATATTTCTGCTTTAATCTATATATAATGAGTATAAGGTTAGTACCTAAATCATTGATAACTGTAAAAAAAATCAAAAAAATTTTACCTACACCATGACCTACTTATAAAAACTATACTATATAATTAAAAAAAACTTTAAAAGATTGAATGTTGTCATTTTATTCATATGGGTTGACAGGTATCACTCAAACTATGCTACAATGAAAATAGTATACTCAACTGGCACAATTGGCCTAAAAGCCATATAACAAAGAATTGAATTGAAAATTATAAAGAGTTAAGTGCATTAATTTAAGACTAATAATATATTCATCCATTCAAATCTTTTCTGCACCGTCTTTCTTACAAGTTTTTTTTCTTAATTAACTAAATTAACAGCATAAAATATCAATTTGCTTTACATATTACATAGAATCAAACACATGACTAATAAAAAAGTATGTCACAAGTGAAAGGTCAAAATGTATGTATTAGTTAATGCCTTAATAACTATGAATGTTCTAATATTATACAATACAAATAAACTTAAATGCAACCATGCTTTATTATATTATATTCTAATAATTTCCCACTTTGTTTAATTGTACCCAATAATAAATTAGTATGAAAAGTATAATTAAAACTTTATATATTTTAAATTCAAAAGGGAAAATAGTATTGCAATTCACTGAGCAATTCTGACAATTCAGACTTCCCAAGAATAAAAATTGGCAAGTAATAAACTTATTTTGTTGAATTAAAACAATGCCAGTCAATTTAACTAATTGGCATTTTTTATTATAATTTGTAAGAAACTAACTTTAATTTTTACATCATGTATTATCCCAATCTTTTAAAGAAGTATTTTTTTTAATTAACTTTGACTCTAATAAAAAAATATTTATCGCTAAACTTGTATTGTAGATATTTTATATCTGATTAATGAGCTAAAACTCTTTTAATTGTATTATTATGAAAATTAAATTTATCAATGAATTTTATGTATGTTCGACATGAATAAAAAGTCATCATTATACATTTCTAAGCTTACAAAAAACATCTTACCCTGGTATTTTTAACAAAATAAAATAAAAAAGCAAATTTAAAGCAATCATATTTGAATCATTACATATTTTCAGGCAACATTTTTTGAATACGGCAACTTTATACATAATAGCAGTATGGTCTAGCAAAGGAACAACATTTATTGGTCATAGTCGGTCAGGTCTGTCGTTCTGTGACTAAAGCGGTGGGCTTTTTTGTACATGTTAAATTGACAAGAGAAGCACAATTTTATTTAATAACTATAATGCAATTAAATTAGGAGTCTTACCTATTTTTTGAACTATTATATTATTCTATCAAAAAATATATTTCAACTGTTGACAATTTAGAATACTTGATATAATGATTTGTATGAATAAAGGCAAATATAATTTATCAAAAATCCATCACAAAGGACTATTTTACAATTTCAATCAATATTTTTAACAATATATCACAGATTCACATCTTAGAAGATGTAATTATAATTTGACATAATATGAACAATTTATAGCACTTATTGTCATTCAAATACTTAATTCTTTTTTCTATAAATATACAAACATTTTTGAAATCGAATTAGCGAAATTTATTATACTATGCCTATATAATATAAGCTAGAGATCTTTTCATATTTTTCTTTATTAAGTACTACCCTAAAACTAACGAAATGCTTAAACTATCTAAATATTGGCAATTCCACGCATACAATAAGTCTTCTATAACTGAAAAAAAAAACAGATTTTGGTAGTAAAAATACTTAACTACTTGACGGTGTTACTCAAGTGATGCCGACGGTAAATATTATCTTTTTTTTAAATGCCTAAGTAGAGTCAGTCACAGCCCGTATCATAATTAAATGTAGCTTTTTGTTTGTTTTTTTCTCATAGATGGCAAAAACAGCTGTAGAAAGGAAGCGCAAGCAGAGAGAGAAGCTGAAAGCTAAAGGATTATTCGAAATTTTTTTTAAGAAAAGGAATCTGAGAACAAAAAACGCCAACGACGTTAGATAAAACCTGTTTGTTTTATTTTATCGATTGACATGCTTAAAACCTTATGGGAAAAAAATCAGAAGAGTTGAGAAGGTACAGACGTAAGATTAAAGAAAGAAAACTGATATTAGAATCCACTGATACACCTGCCAAAGAAGAGACTCCTACTAAAGCATTTGCCTTAAAAAGCAATGCATACATTAGCAAGACAAATTACTCCTGAAATAATAACGCTTAAACACAAGAAACCGAAGAAAACCATCTCTGCTGACACAGTTCAAAAAGTCATTTTATTTTGTCCGTGATAATATTAGTCGCCGAAATCCTGGCATTAAAGACACAACAATAGTCTTCTCAAAGATGGAAAAAAAATTAAAATGCAAAACAGGCATTATTCAGCAATGTTCTCTAAACATACGCTCTGTTTTGTGATGAAGTCGGAACGATTATAGGCAAAAGTAAATTTGTTGAACTACAACCAAAACATGTTCTCTTGAGCTTCCAAGCATCTGAAAATGTATGCCTTTGCAAGTATCATGAAAATTACATATTAGCTGTAAACGCGCCGTCCAAAAATTACTATAGCATCCCTAGTTACGACAATTTTTTTTAACAAAAACTGCTCTTTGTGAAGCACCAACAACGTCCTGTTGTATGATAAATGTACAAAATGTAAAACTGTGATGCAATCTGAATTAGAAAAAGCTTTGTTTCATTATAAAGATAGGGAAATTAGCTGGTATGAATGGAAAGAGGAAAATGGCCCTAGAATGATTCGAGAAGCCATAGAAATTAAAAAACATCCTAATTTCAATAGGGAAGATGGCTGGGTACTACCATCGTCATGGGATCCTGTTATTAATATAATAAAATCTAATAATAAATCTAAACATAACAGACAGGTAGATGTAGTAAGTTCTTACTGTGTAGATCAAAATGATAGCATTTCTGATTAATAATATTTTTTCACTTTTTCATTTGTAAATGTATGTAGTAATGTGTTGCTTAATAATTTGTTTTTTTAAATAATAGCAAATTTAAATTAAAATTATTATTTTTTAATCAATCTTAACTTTTTCAAATTACACATAGATCAATTGTGGCTTAAATAATTAATACTATATTTTATATTTTTCTTATGGTTATAAATATAATAATGGCAACACTAAATATAGATTGCTAATTAATATTTTTAAAATTGTAATAATTATAAAAATAATAGCAAAAATTTAATAAATAATTTTCCATATTCAATTATAATTAAAATTATAAAAATATTTAAAGTTAAAATATTGTAATGTAATTGGTGCAATTTTCATTTTGTTAATTGTGGGTAGGCTGTCTGTAACAACTATATCTTTAAGACATGTAACACCTCAGTCTCTCCCGTGACCATGGATGCTGTAAAGCATTCGAAACGTCGGGAAACAAAAATACAAATAAATCCGCGACAAAATCCGAAAAGATAGTTTTATTTAAAATGTCAAATATTCGCGTAAATCTAAGAAAGTATTATGAAAATGGACGGCTTAGAAAGGTTTTACTAAAAGCTACAGTGTCGATGCTCTGTGAACATATTTCGAAAATAACTCCACAGTTTAAAGAACACAGTTACATAAAAAGGGAACAAGCACAGCGTTACAATCATCACATTGATTGTATGAGCTCAGATTGCAACTTTGCGCTTCTGCAAGTGGATTTTGCCAAAATTATACCTGTGTTTCGTATGATGAAATTCAATCGTATCGTAGGGTGCAGCCACAAGTTTCTTTATTTACTGTGTCTTTGTGGTTTCATCAAAAGAAGTACGCATGTGGTCAGATGGTCCAGCTTCATAAATCAAAAACAGATATATTGCTAAATCTCTTCCAATTATGGAAAATCGACAATTTGAAAATCACGTGGTATTTTTTCGCCACTTCTCGTGGAAAAGGGCCAGTAGACGGAATCGGAGGTGCCCTTAAACGTCGGATGCGAAAATTTGTGATGAGGAGAGAGAAAATTGTGTCAAATGCACGCGATTTTTCTGAATCTGTAAACAAAAACTCAAAGGTACAAATCATTTTGATGAATGTAAATGCCATGAAGACCGACATTAAGTACGGTTTTTGAGAAAGCTCTGGCTATTAAGAACATTAAAAAAATGCACAAATTTTACGTAAATAAGTTTAATTACGTCAAAACCCTGCAACTATCTCGCTTGCGAAAAACAACGTATGAAGAAGAGTTTTCTGATGAATCGGCAGACGATGATGAAAGAGATCTTCTAATGCCTGATAAATCGCCAGACGAAAAAGAAAATAATGCTCCAATATTAGACGTTGGCCTCGGTGGTCTAGAACTTACTGCTAATAACATCCAAAATGTTGATCGTCAGATGTATCGTTACATCACTTTTTAACAAAATGATGTAGATGAAGAGGTTGAAGACAAACTTATGAGCCTAAAAGGACACACAACACAACACAAAGTCACATTTATATTTTACTAAATAAAATATATTTTAAAATATCATTAATAGCCATTTTTTCTCTATAGGATAACTGTTGAAACTGCTACAAAGCCATGTTTAAATTGAAACTAAAAACATAGTACTAATCAAAAGTACAAATCAAAACCAAAACCAAAACACAAATTGTGTCAATTGTAGTCAGTGACATATGGAATTGCCAATATTAATTATCTAAAAGTAATAATGTTCTACTTACTGAATTAATTAGTTACCATGTCCATGCCAATGATCTTGGCTGAATTGTGGCAACTCCATTGGCATTTTATTATACATTGTACTATTATGGGCAGAATTCGGCACTGACTTCTGAGCATTAGCTTGTCTAAATTTAGTTGAGTATTTATAGAAATCAGACATTTCAAATGGCTTTGTTTCCTCTCTATATGGTATACATTTCCCTTGTTCTATAACTGTCAGGTTTTTAGGTGATTCCAGTGACACAGCACTAGGAGATAACACCGGTGGACTATGTGGTATGTGGTTAGGACTCTGCATTGCAGAGTGCCGGCCTGATGAAATCATTATTTCATATGCTTGAGAATTGCCTATACTAGGTGTTCGCTTCAAACTGGCACTTTTCTTTAGCATTGGTTCACATTTAGTAGGGGAATCTAGTGATGTTTCATACCACTGCTTTTCTTTCATTTTTGTATCTTGAGAAAGAGGTGAGAACTTGTTCATGCTAACAGAATCAAAGTTGCTTTGTGAATATCCTGACATTTGGCTAACTGGGCTCATGGCATCTGGAAAATTTAGTCTGTCATCCATGAAATCATCAGTTGAAACTTGCAATTGCAGATGAAGTGGATTTCTGATTGAATTACGTTCTCTGAGAGGTAAAGTATTAGGCACTGGAATATTTCTTTCCATTGGTAACTGTCGTCTATCTGCTTGGTCTTGAATATCTGGTTGAGACCTGTGCTGATAAACTGGCATTGGCGGCCTATATCCATCACTCATATTCTCCAAGTGATGGTTATAATCACTGTGTGAAGTCAAGTGATAAGTTTGAGTTCTTTGTAAAGTGTTTCGTCGAACCCCATCGGTTCTTCTCTTCGATTGCATTTGCATTTGATGATGATGGTTTAGTGCACCGAGGTGTTGGTTTTGCGATTTTAAGTGAGAAGCATATTGATATAATAAGGGTGTGTTGCGCATACCATTCTGAGGGGCTACGGGCTGAGGCATAATAGATCCATGAGTATAATGAGTAGTTATATCAGGATGACTAGAGCTGAAATGCGTTTCTCTTAAGCGTGAAACATTATGAGCTTCTGCTGGGTTATTGTAATAAATTTTATTTGTATATTCAGTTGTGAGAGTATGATGACGGTAAACCGGGCCTTGTTGAAGCTCATTATGTATATTTTCCATAGGAATGGAGTCATGACGGCCAGCCAAAGCAGGGTAAGTGTGAGATGTATGTATTGAAAATGTTTCAGGGTTGCGTTCTTGAGGCGGCGACGGAAAGAAGTTCGAGCAACTGGTTTCCGGTCGTCGCATATGCCGAGAGTGTGTACTTTTAGATGATATACCTGATATTGAGGGCGTTGACAGTCTATGTGAAAGGTTCTTTCGCAAGTTCGGATCGGAATCGTGAACACGGTCATTATTAGATCGCAGCCGCCTTGATGTATTTTCGGCACCGTCTTGAACATCAGTGCCATCAGTGGACCTATCGACACTCCGTATACTGCCCACTCTTTCTCTCGGAATTTCGGGGCTTAGTGGGGCTTCTGGTGGCATTATACCAGTCAATTGTACTTCTTGTACGCATAATTTATATAGTTCCTCATTTTTTGAAGCTAGCATTTGCTCCAGTTCTTTCTTTCGAGCTTGTAGTTTCAGCATTTTGTCCTGCTTATCGGAATGTAAATCGCTACCCATTGTGCTTGTACCCATGTTCAAAACTTAAAGAACAACTTAAATAACATAAGTTCAAAAACAGAAACGCGAAATTAATAAAGAAAGTAACAGAAAACAACCAAAATTAAAATAAACAAAGGAAAATATTAGATAGTTTAACACTGACACATTCACACGCACTGCGCACAAGCCCGCACCCATGTTTTAGACTAAATCGCTGCGTTCAACTTCAGTTAACCTCCATCAGAACAATTATTATTATATAAAATGAAAAAAAATCCCTAAATAAACATTAAATAGAAATAATATGAACATTTTATTACTTTTAAAATAATATGTGTACATCTCTTTTATATTTGGATAAGATTAAATAATTATATATTAAAAGACAGTGTGTATAAAAATTGGAACGCAACTTTTCGTTTTAAGCTTTGATGTATCGCTGATTAAACAACACACAAATTAAATTCAATACCTACAAATATTTCTTTTAAGATTAACAAAATAGCAAATTTACTATAGTAACAATTTAGTTAATAATAGGTACAATTTCGTATGTTATCGAAATTCGAAACGTTTTAAATGTCAAAAGATAGCAAAATTCTATGCTTAAAATTATTGTCATCCATTGTATATATTTTTTTCTTTATTGGCAACTACGTTATATCCATGGTCTAAACTTTATTTGTCATCCATGGTCTAAATCTAGTCTTAAATGTCAATGGCAGTCATAGTCAAGTCAAGTGTCAATTGTCAATCTAAAAATTTAAATTTTAATCTTCAAGGTCTCATCACGGCCGATTCGAACTGTCCGCATAATTGTAAAATTGTGAATTTTAATTTATTAAAGTCGTAGAAAAATATATAAAAAAATGTCTAAAGTATACAGAGTAGTAGTTACTGCTGCAGACAAATTCGTGCCATCAAAATTACGTCCTCTCTGGGAACATGAAGCTGGTAAATTATTATTTTATATATTCATGAGTTACGCAAGACGTAATAAATATTAAAATGTTGATTACTTTTTAGGTCCAAAAACTATTTTCTTCTGGGCACCAGCATTTAAATGGGTAAGTAACATTTTCAAGGTCAGCATGTTACAGTGTAATGTTATTGAATAGATAGCAAATAGTAATTAATTCTACACGTTGCAAAGTTGTGAATAATTAGAATACGAGTATTTTAATTGTGCTATTCAAACAACATGCACCTTGATTATTTATTGGTGAAAGGGAATTTCATATTACATTTGTATGAGCATTGTTCATTCGCCTTCAATATTTGGATTAAGTATCAAATTATTAAATTATAATGCAAGCCTTATTTATTAGCAACTGGTATTTCATGTTATAAGGATTTACATAAGGAGATCTTAAAGAGGAACATTTAAACAAGATGGGTTTCATTTGAATGAACCAATGGAATTATCAATCACCTACCATTGCCTCTAAATGTGATAAAATATATCAATTATCAGTTCATTATGATATATTTCAATTAGAATTGTTATGTGTATTTTATTACTTAATTATGTACCTAAATATATAATTATTCAATTCAATTTTCTTGTCTACAAAGCGTGCCAGTTAAACACATTACTTTGCCAAAGTCATATAGAATTGAGAAGGCTCATAGAAGATTGGTTTGTTATATATTATTATAGGTGATAAATTTTATTGTTTTGAAATTTACACTAAACAGGGCATTCAGCTAATCATTAAAACCCATTTTGAATGTTTCATTATTCATTTCAGGGTTTGGTGATGGCAGGGTTGGGTGACTTGAATCGGCCGGTTGAGGCCTTGTCTATTCCTCAGTCTGTCTCGCTTGCAGCAACTGGGCTAATCTGGTCTCGATACTCACTTGTGATCATACCAAAAAACTATAGTCTCTTTGCTGTCAATGTGTTTGTCGCTATAACTAATTTGTATCAATTAGGCAGGGCCGTGAAACATCAACAATCTCTCAAAAATAAGGAAAAGTAATGTAGATAATTAGGTCTATGAAAACAACAAATGTAGATGGTATTAGTATATCAGTGGGTGACATGATTTATTTATTTTATATTTGTTTTTATTGACTTAACTTCATATGGGTAATAATCAGGCAGAATTTTATTTTTTATATAATGTATTGTTTTTTATCATTTAATTTTTGATTATGTACCTCATAGCTGAATTTAAGATTCATTTCTTTTTCTATAGAATTTGTTATTTGACCAATATTTATAAGTTTTATAGACAAGTATGTAACAAAATTACACAACAGATGAACTGTGATAGATAATTTGATAGTTATATTTAATGTAACTTTTGTCTAAACCATACATTAATTAATTAGATATTTATTAACAAAAACACTATTTAAATACAAACCTGTTCAAAAAAAATTAGATATTCATGATCATGTATAAAAATTAAATATAGTTATGTCATAGTAAGGCTCACTGGCTTTTTTGTGATAAAAGAATATAATAAAATTATATGTTACAACAAAAGTGTACATTGTTGGGCTTAAGATATATATTATCAGATCCGGAATCAGAATCCAGTTTGGGAACAAAATATTGAAAACCTGAAGTTTTATGATTTTAAAATGTTAGCAGGTACTTATATAAGGAATAGAAATTCGTAAAATGCCCCCGATGCCCAGCTAACCCTGAGAAATGGAGGGAAGTTCTATCTATAAAAAATCTACGAAAGTTGTAGGTCTTTTTGCAATTTTTTGCAATTATCATTGAAAAAGTGTACTTTATTGACCAAATTTTTATAAACCTATATATTTGTCGGGAAAAAACGAAAAAAGTTACATCTTTAAGTTTTTAAACTGTAGGTTTTCAATATATTTTTTTTCTCTTAAAATTAAAGGGATTCCGATTGGTCTATATATTATATATGTACATAAAGTGTTTTAGCAAATGTTTAAAAAACATTAAATTTTTTATAGAAACATTGACTATTTTTGTAATAACCTTTTACAAAATATATGTTTATTTTTCATACTTCTTTTCTTTATTGTCCAATATTTCATGCTTTATAATGTTTCTCTTTCTACTACATGGTGATGGGTATCTGTATATCTGTATTATTAATATTATAAATGTGAAACTTTGTGAATATGTATGGATGTTTGTTCCTCTTTCACGCCAGAACGGCTGAACGGATCTGGATGAAATTTGGCACAGACATAGATTATGGTCTGGAATAACACATAGGCTACTTTTTATCCCGGAAAAATATACGGTTCCCGAGGGATATATTTGTTTTTCTAGAAGAAGTCTTTATTAAATTATAACTAAAAGCTTATATTATTTATTACATACTAGTGACTTATCCGTGTTTCACTCTGATGCATTTCTAGATGAATAATAAATAAACTTAATGAACTTTCTCAAAACACGTAATAAACGTACACACAAACTTTAACAATTTTAATAGTAATAAAATTCGCTTCATATAAGTTCTATTATCGTTACCAAATCAAACAATATATGAAATACTAGAGACTCGCCCTCGCTCCGCTCGGGTTTGTCCCTACTTACGTTTTAACGGTTTTTAAAGGATTTCTCAGAGATGAGATATTTTCCCGCAGTAAAAAAGTGTCCTATATGTTGACCCGGATAACCGGCTATCATCACGCCAAATTTGATCAAGTGGTTTTTTCTTGATGCGGTAGCAGACAGACAAAAATTCTAAAAACTATAGATTCGGCTTCTATCGATAATAATGACTATTTCAATAAGATTTTCCAAAAACATTTAATGTACAGATTCGGTTTAGTTACAATGTGGTTAATTCGTTCATGGTGCCTTTATATGAATTATATGTATATTTATAACATTAATATTCAAAACTTTCCCCTCTGGTTTTTTATTATGATACAATGATTTTGTAGGTATTGGAAAAAATAATTTGGGATAAAATTTAGAAGAAACTTGTATACCATGGCATGGATGATATTATACGGTTTTTGGGCTCGATTATTATTAAGCTTTAGACTTGTTTAAAATAAACTTTTATAATGGGATATATTATAGCGTATAGCTATAACAAGATATTTAATAATCAATAATTGTTGCATGGATGACGGAATGATCAAACCTAGCATGATATATGAAATATATTATTACGGAGCTTCCATCTATTCGAGCCGACTCGATTGACTGCAAAGTGAAATGATTGTTTCTTTTTTTATGTACCGTACCTATTGGTCTGAAAGAAGATCTTAAATGTAATTAATAATCCCATTAATTATTACTAGAGTTTGCAGAGTAATCGAACTTCGACCATGTTTAATATAGTTTTTTATTTATTTATGAAACTAAAGCTCGTCAATAGCTATTAGACTATAGGTACATAATTCTTAATTTGACTACAGAGTACAGACTAAAAATTAAGCATGGAAATGATTGCTACTTTTAAATCATTATCATGTGATAAAATTACGTATATTTTTCACGTGATTTCACCTGCTACTTTTCACGCATAGATTTTTGATTTCGACGGTCTGGTGTCACACTTTATATTATTTGCTATTAAAATGAAGTATGAAATGTCACCAATGGCACTACTGATGTGATATGGAGCAGAGATATAGATCTGACGTAGTTGCATACGTACATGGTGCTTTGAATGAACCTATTTTCAAACTTTATTTAATGCTTATCAAAACAAAAGATAAAAAAAAAACAATTAATGCTACAATATATATTATATGAGGCAAAAATATTTTGTATGATCTTTAACTTAACGTGTAATTTATAGTTATAATTTCATTTATTTACCTTATTATTATAACATTAGTGATAATTCAAACAGAAAATGAAAACACTTAAAAATTATAAACAAATTGTATAATTATCTATCATTCTATCCATTATGACAGAATTAAATAATAAATAAAAAATAGGTAATTTAAAAATGAAAAGTAACGCCATCTTTCACGTTAGTGTGACGTCGTAATGCATATATTATATTTTAAAATCAATTGCGCGAATGATTTATTAAATCATAATCTGTACGTATTACACATAATCATTCAGTAAAAATTATAAGTATTTGTTGGATAAAAAACTAAAAATGTGCTCTAAATTTAATTGTTGTTTCTAATTTAAAATTATTTCTAAACAATATTTCTAAGAATCCGAAATCATGCAACTCGAAATAAATAAACTCCCCAATTTACTGATCAACGGTATTAACTGAAAATTGTATTTTGTTGAATAAAAAATCAATAAAAACATCAGTACGAAAATGTATACGGAAAATGCGAGTAACGAAATGCATTCGTGAGTAACGTTTCGGTACTCGGTACTAGATGGCGTACCCGTTACTCAGTAACGAATACATACGGTTTGCTACAGCTCTAGATTTCACCAAGTTGTGATTTGTAGCAGTCACTATGAATTTAAGTAGCAGGTGTGACGTATGATAACGCATTTCACGTGATTTTTCACTTGCTACTCGTGAAATGTTCCATGCCTACTAAAAATAAACAAAAGAGTATATATGCGTGTGTGTGTCAAATACATATGTAGTGTGTGTAATGTTTTTTTTAATTGATTTATTGTATTTTTACGTACAATTTTAGCATTCTGCACTCCTTCTCTAAAACTAAAAAACTATAAGTGTGGGAAATTTCATACTCCTCCGTCCGCGCAATTTTCGTAAAAAGGGGTACAAAGTTTTTGCTTCATACCTAGATTAATATTATAAATGCAAAAGTTTGGATGGATGTTTGTTACTCAATCACGCCAAAACTGCTGAACGAATCCGGATGAAATTTGGCACAGAGATAGACTACATGTTGGAATAGCACATAGGTCACTTTTTATCCCGAAAGAATGTACGATTCCCGTGGGATAGATTTGTTTTTCACTAGGAACGAACCCAAATAAAGTGTATTAGTATTTTTATAAATCTTTTAATCCATACGGATGCAGAGAAATAATATATACCTACTCGTATGTACCTACCAAAAATTACGATCTCATTGAAAATCGATGTCAATACGTAAATACAGCGGATACAGTTAATAATATACTAACGTTTCACCCGCGCTTCACTTCGGGTGCGTCCCTAGTGAAAAACAAATCTATCCCACGGGAACCGTGCAATTTTTCAGGATAAAGAGTAACCTACGTGCTATTCCAGACTATCATTTATAACTGTGCCAAATTTCATCCAAATCCATTCAGTCGTTCTGGGGTGATTGAGTAACAAACATTCATTCAAACTTTCGCATTTATAATATTAATAATGGGATTAAATGCAATTCTCAAATTAAAAAAAGGTATATGACTAATTTTATTATATATCTAGAAAATGTCTGGGATTTAATAGCAATATTACTACTTAATGTATTTATGTTTTCATTGTAATTATTAATTCTCATTAATTCCTCTTGTTTTTAACATTCCACATTACAGGCATTAGTTATGGCATCGATAGACGACTACCGTCGAGACCTCGCCAAAGTGTCGACGACGCAGTCAGCTACATTGGCTGCCACCGGTTTTATCTGGACACGGTACTGCCTTGTAATACGTCCGATAAATTACTCGTTATCTCTGTGTAACTTTGCTTTAGGCTTAGCAAATGCTATACAATGTTTTAGAGCTTATAATTATCAACAAAAGCATAATATCGTGAGCCAAAAGAACGAGGAAATTGAGACCGATATGTAAAAAAAGGCAAACAGAACATACCTACACAAAATTAATACTAAAAAAAACACAAAACACACTAATATTTTACCTATTTAAACAATAACCGAAACGTCAAACTAGTCCTATATTTACCTAACTTTACATAATATATATAGCTTAATATATATTTTTATTACACATATAAATGTTGTAGACATGTTATATCTATGTTGAATGAAGTAAGCCATAGGTATATGCTAACAATTTAAACATTTTTACATCGGTTATGGCTAAAATTTACTGGATTTTCTTTAAATGAAACTCATAAAAACGCTCTGATTAAAACAACAGCCATATTAAAACTAAGCTGGTACCTATATTACATAGGTACATATATACCTACTTTATTTAATGTAATTAACGAATTTATAAACTTGCCAATTTTAGACATTATAACTAAGCCATTGTGTGCCAAATCATAGAACTTGTACAAAATTATTGTTTTTTTTAATTCCTTTTTTGCCAAAAATAAATTTAAGGATTGTTTAAATTTTAATATATCAAATATTTAAGTACTCGAATTTATTGCCTTGGTTAAAATTTAATGAATTTGGCAAATATGATATAATATTATGATATAAATAAATAATGCAATTAACGAATTTATGAACTTGCCAAGTTAGTCATATAATATGCCATTTTGTGCCAAATTATACAACTCATAGGCTCAAAGGATTGATTTTATAATTAATATTATGTTGCCAAAAGTAGATTTAAGGATTGTTTAAATTTTAATATATCAAATATTTACTCGAATTTGTTGCCTTGGTTAAAATTTCATGAACTTTGCAAATAATATTATAATTAAATTATAATATATATGTTTAGTATCTTTTCTATAAATAATAAAAAAAATATCATAATATTGATATTTTTTCAGTGGTTTATAGTTTTTAAATTTTAAACGCCTAGTAAAATTTATAAATTAAATATTCTTTGCAAATTGCAAGGAACAAGAGTGTTACTCGAATATATTTTAATTATTTGCCTTTCTCTTAATTTATTTGATGAATCTTAACTACTAAATTGCTTTCAACATTGTTTATCAACTATTAAATAAAACACTTGAAATAATTAACGAATCTGTAGAAAGGTAAGTAATTTATAAAAAAACGAATCGAATAAAACCAGTATTTAACAGAATATATATGTACAGTACAAAATATTATAAGAATTTACTCGATAAGTCATATAATTTAACTAGGTAATATATACGTTTTAAATGTATAAAATCAGAGTTTCTTCCAAGAGGCCAAAAATTCCAACTAAAAGACCTAGTCACAGATTCGATTTTTGCTCAAGGTACGTACTATTTGTATTAGCCATACAAATACTGTTTTTTGTTTACTGTTCCGTAGGCAATGTAAAAATTACATCTTATGGTGTGTAATGAATCAGATGATGCAAAGTTTTATTTATCTTCTTCTTCTTTTCCCTGCCCATTTCCCAAATCACTTGGGGTCGGCGCAGTACATACATACATATTTATCATACGTACATATTTAAGGTAGTTACATATTTTTATTGTGTAATACTTGAACATATACGTAAATAATTCTATATACATCTATATTAATACGTGAAGAGAAAACTTTGAACCCCTTTTTAAGCATATTGCATGTACGGAGGAGGATGAGCTTTGGCATAGTAGTTAAAGTTTGTGTAGAGAAGGACAGCAGAAAGCCAAAATTTATTGACTTTCTTTTACCCGAGAATTCTTCATATATAATTACTTCACCGCTAAAAGATGCAGCATGATGTAAGATAACCTTTATCAATATTGTACGAGTACTTACATAATATAAAGATGAAAAGTTTGTCTGTACGTGCAAGTCTCTGAAACTATAGTCCAGTCTCAAAATTCTTATGCATTTTATAGACTATCTATATAATTTTAAAAATTAACCTCAATATCGATCAAACTAAATAAATTATGATTGATTTTTAACCATGGGACGATCACTAGTATGTATAAAATAGCTATTCACGTGTTTGTTTGTGCGTTTGTTCTTTTAATTCACGCAGTATTAAGTATATACGCGGGATGCACTCGTGCGAAGTGGATAAATAAATTGTTTATAGATAAGACACATAACACTCAGTATAGTCAGAATGTAAGAAATATTTGTATGGCCTAATAGATATTTGCCTCCAGCAAGAATCGAAACCACTACTTTTGAGTAAAGCATTTCATTGGTTTTAATGAAACAAATCAGAACGTTAACATATTATATAATTTTTTTATAAACTATAACGCGAAGAAGGGCTTTTTAAAAAAAATATAATATATAGAAGAAAATATTTAGACTCAAATTATTTTTGTCACTATATTTTAGCTATATAAAAACATATTACCTATAAGTTATATTATTACAATAATTTCCTGATGTTGTTAATATAATACTAAACGCAATGGAATTATAATATAGATAACTAATAAATCAGTGAAAAAATATTTGAAATCCATCAATAAATGACTGAGAAATGAATATAAATGTCGGTCGTTCAGGTCGTGTGACGTCACGGCATTATTATTACAAGCGCAACTTTAAAGTTCCATAACTGTTTCATTTGTATTTTTTTGTTGTTTTTGTTATATTTTACTTAAATTTTTATAATTAATAAAAAAAAATGAGAAAAATCTCCGTTATATTTTTGTATATTATAAATAGCTACAGATATATTTTTGTTATTTCATGTTATTATTGTTATATAAATAAATTGTTTAACCGTTTATGTGAATGTGTTTTATTTGTCCGTATGTCAGTAATAAAATCTAATATTCTCATCGCCATTATTTATAATTTATAATAGATATAAGTTAGATATGGTTTAAATTTTAATAAATAGAGAGTCTTCTTTTTGATAAGTCTGTAATATAAATATAATGTCAATTTTATGGCCACGGCGGCTAATCTCACTGAGACTAGCCAACTGCAGGAGATATTATAGTGCGTGTGTTCGTGCAGAAACAACGTGCACTCTCTATTTCTGTCACCGTCAAAGTAATATATGTAATATGTAATAATATAATATGTATGTTGGGACATTAACACACAGCACCATCTAGTTCCATGGTAAGCTACGAGGCTTGTGTTATGGATAACAGATAGTTGATACACTACATATATATAACTTTAAATACATACGTATTATAAATACAAAACACCCATGACTAGAGTACAAACATTCGTGCTCATCACACAAATGAATGCCCCCAGCGGGACTCGAACCCGCGACCTCTGGCACAAGAAATAGGGTCACTACAAACTGAGCCAAACGTGTCGTAGAAAGTCCCATTGGACGATACCTAATTCGGCACCATGGTGAGAGTTAAAGCGCAGGAGCGAGAGCTTCACGTGCTCTGCCTAATAAAAAAATAAAAAGGAAAATAAAAATAATAATATTCCAAACACTTTATTTCATTCTTCGACCAAACTCAAAAGTTTCTCTAGACCGATGGGCACAAACGTCCTGCCTCCATTATCCGAGTACATAATAACATTTCTTATCACATAGCACTGCAGCTCGCCTATTTTGTATAACGGCCGGCCTTCTCTCGTTTTGCCTGCTATTGGGACGAAAGTTATACCTTTTTCTATACATCTTGATTCTAAAAGCTCTGAAAAGCTTTTTTGTTGGGAAATGGAGGCTAGGATGTCGATTTTGGAGGTTTCTTTTGGGTCTGCGAGGGTGATGCGCGGGGGAGGGGGCGGGTCTACGGAATCGATGTCGGTGCTTCGGTTCATCATATCTAGGGCTTTCCTGAAGGCATCACGAACCGCTGGTTCTTTTAGGACTTCTTCTGGAAACATTTTCTGTAATAAAATTAATTTATTATTTATTTATTGTTTAGATGGAACTAGTATAGTACGGGTGAGGTTAAATTGACGTCGTGGGTGTCTTTATTAATATGTTCATGGAAAGCTAGTGAAAAATTTAGTATTATTATTGCAAATATACATGAATAAATACAAATGAATCGTAAAGTAATATCTCAAAGTTTATGCAGAATTAAAAAAAAAAGATACTATATTTTTTTGTAAAACAGTTTTTCAATTTTAAGAGTGTTCGTTTATTTCTATAACACTAAGATAATGATATTAATGGTTCTTTTTAAAGATTTGGTAAGAAAATACTGGTACACGAAGCGTTCTGTACCATCGTACAAGATATAATACTATGTACTAATCGTATTTTTTTTCAAATTTCCCATCTTGGTGTTTTTATTACTTGTTGTTATAATTTCAAACGAAATACAAACTATGTAAAAATTTCAACTATCTATCTGCTATGGTTCATAAGATACAGCCCGTTGCTATCAACGCAGGGAGGGACAGCGGAGGTTTAGTAATAGGGTTCCGTTGGCACTTTTCGAGTACGGAATTCTAAAACGACCGGGTAATAACGTTGGCTAGATTTCCTTAGCAGCTGTTATCAGAACTTAGACAAAAGCTAACAATATTTATTTCTTTGTTTAATTAACTGTAACAGTTCTGATTACATACTATTAATTTTGTGTTTACTAAAAAATAATCATAATATAAAGATCTCTAACTCTCAAACCAGGGTCCGAAGCTGTCTGATGAGATATACCATGAAGTTTATGAATACGAGCATTTATCTAAAATTGGAAACTAAAACTCAAACTTGGGAGTCCAAAGCTTTCCTGAAGGTGGTGGTGGTAGTAAAGACTTGTTAGTGGTGGAAGATGGTAGTACCTTGAAGTGTGTGTACGCGGCGAGCACGGTGGCGTGCGGCGGCGCGGCGTTGAGCCAGGCCGCCAGCGCCGCCAGCCAGCGCGGCAGCAGCGCGCGCGCCGCCAGCGCGCCCAGCGCCGGCGCGCCCAGCAGCTCCTGCCACTCCACGCACCAGCGCCACGCCGCTGATACATACACACATACAACACGCATATACTTACTGATTCCACACGTACACACACATAATAATACGAGTCACAGTCCGCCCAATATTCAGTTTAAGACTGTTAAGCAGGCGGCCGTGCGGTGGTCTCATCCAATAGCCCAATTTTTAGCCCATTTAAACTCTATCCCATAACCCTATTTAGTTTTCCATATTTTCTATAATCCCTACGCATTATCCAGAGATCACCTTTGAGCAATTTCCTATGAGTAACATTAAATAAAACTATCTTTTCGAATCATTTCGCGGATTTATTTTGATTTTTAATTCCCGACGTTACGAATGCTTTACAGCAATCATGGACACGGCTATAAAGCATTCGAAACGTCGGAAACCAATAATCAAAACAAATCCGCGAAATAATCCGTAAAGATAGTTTTATTTAAAATGTCAAATATTCGCGTAAATCTAAGAAATTATTAAACTTTAACCTCTTAAGCGATCTTTACGTGATGGTCCTGTGTCCCCACGCAAGTCTTATATAAGACCAAACTCCTTTGAGCCCGTGAAATATGAGAAGATATAAATAATAATAATAGGCCCCCCGATCAACGTCATTGAGATATTATAGTACAGCACATGTACACGCAAACACCAGCGCACTCTATTCCAGTCACTTTCATACTCAGGTGGGATAACAACTCGACACGACCAGTGAGAGATCAGGTGCCTCAGCGGAAAGGAAACACCGGCAACTTCCCAACTCTGGGCAGTGACTTACTAAACGGAGAGTCAAGTCTAAACTTGGCCTGACCCAGGACTCTAACTCAGAACCTCTGGTGCGTTCAGGACTGCGGAGGCCTTTAACCGGATTACTATTACAAATGCTAAAATTTGTATGTGTGTTTATTAGAGTACATACATGCGTTTGTATTTTTGCTATTGTATAAAAAAAAAATAATCACGCATAATACCTATTTACGTCATTTTCTATTATAACATTGCATTATTACAATTTAAAAAAATATATAAAAAAATAACATGTTACTTTTTTTGTATTACAGTGAAAGTTGAGTAGGAAATGACTATAACCGTCGATTCTTGAATGTTTTCAAAGATGATCACGCGAAAAAAAAATCCATTCAAACCAAAAATTTAAATTAATTATTTATTTTAAAAATTAGTGGGCCACCTCAAAATTTTAAGTAAAAAAGTTTTGTTTTTATATAAGCAACAAATTCTACCTTGGGGCTAAGAAAAAAGTTCTTTTTTCGCTCCACCCTCATACAAAAAAAATCATTAAATTGCTTCTCCCGTAAAGTTAAGAAAATGTCGCTTAAACCAAATAGCCTTTCACCCGTCGATATGTATGTGTAAAAAGTTGAAACGGTAGGACGGATTTTGATGCAATTTAGTACTACAGATAGGCCAATATCTGGAGTTAATAATATATAGGTAATCGTTCGACACTTGTAGAGGGTCGAGCCGCGAGCGTATACGGACCGTTGTCGCCGCCCAGCAGGTCTACGCCGGAGAGCTGCAGGCAGTGCTCCAGCTTGGGCAGGACGTGGTGCTGCAGCAGCGGCGCCAGCGCCGGCCCCCAGGCGCGGCGCCAGGCCGCCAGCAGCGGGCGCGCGGACGCGTCGGCGGGGTGCCACGCCGCCAGCGCCGCCGCCAGCCGCGACCGGATCACCGGGTACGCCGACGCGTTCAGCTCCTCCGCTGAGGAACACGCATATTTCATTTTTAAACGGATAGTATGGAATGGATAGACTATATTTATATTTTGGGAATGAAGTGATCGCCTCCAGGCTACTTCAATTTTATAGAAATGTTGTAATTTATAATTTAACTCTATAAAAAAGATAATGAAATAGTATTAGTCCTGCTGAGTTTCTTTCGCCAGTTCTTCTCAGGTCTGAGGCTTCTTCCTTCCAACCTGGTAGTAGACTCATGACGTTCAGTAAAAAATTGTAATAACTTAAATGCTGAATAAAATATATTGAATTTGAATACATATATATGTACTATATATGTATATACATGGGTATGATGAGTTTTATATCCCTTACTTCAGAAATGATTGATTCACCATACACAGTTCCACCCCTCTTTTCACCCACTTAAGGGATGATTTCCGGGATAAAAACTATCCTATATCCTTCTATATAATAAGTTATGTTAATTATGACTTATGTGATTATAATTAAATATATTGGGAAATTAATATAGCACACATTGTTTTGAGCTCTTGTGAATTGCACAGAATCACAGCCTAGATCACTGGTCGTTTTCTTGCAACACCAGAGAATGACAGTGTTTTCTGGAGCTATAAGTGGATCGTTATTTTTTTTAAATCATATTTTTTTTAAATAAAGGCCATGAACGTCTTATTCGTTTTATATTTTATTATCATTTTGTTTTTATTTGACAAAATTGAAAAATATTCTTTATATCTTTTTAGAAATACCTCCATTTAAAAAAATGTAAAAAAATTTCAGTCTTATAGAGAAAGAATGAATCCTCTGCCAATTTTAATTCGTTTTTGCAGCTAATTTGTTGTATAACGTATATTCGAATTGTCGATCGCTTTTAATTTTAACTAAAATCTGTTAAATGCAAGAGAATCTGTCAAAAATACCAATTTTCATCATAAACAATTTCGAAATTAAAGCGCCCTTAATTCCAACCCGCGATAAGTCACAATTTATAGGCGACAACCCTAAATCCGTTTTCCGAGCGTCATATGTCATAGGAGAGTCCACCCACTGACCGGCCAGGTCGTGCCAGGGCAGCACCCAGTGGTGCACGGGCAGCGTGTCGCGCGTGGGGTCCCAGGCGCGCAGCGCGGCCAGCAGCGCGGGCAGCACGTGGCGCGCCACGCACGCGCGCACCACCCAGCCCGGGCACGCCGCGCTCCACGCCTGGATCAGCTCCAGCATCGGCTCCGGCGTGCGGGGGTTCCACGATCTGCTCGTGCATCATCATATTGTACTACTTGTTATTGTGTTAGACGTTTTAAATAAATTATTAAATTTTGTCATAAAATTAATTTGTTCGTATTTCTTATCATAAGTAAACCACTAAATGAAGTGAAGTTTTGAAGCATTGTATAATTAAAATTTAGCTTCAAGGGATAAACCGACACGACACATACTCTGCCTCGACATGGGGATGTTAGAAAAAAATCTAGAAAACACCATAATTATATGACCCGACCCGGGACTCGAACCCAAGAGCCAGACCTACAAAACGAGGTAAACAAGTAATATACAGTACTCAGCAGCAGCAGCGACGCTGGGCACGAAGTGCTGCCACAGCAGCGAGTGGTAGGCGTGGTCGGGCAGCAGCGCGCGCGCGCGCAGGAAGGCGGGCGGCGGGCGCGCGGCGCCGGCGGCCAGCAGCGCGCTCAGCAGCGGCGACAGCGCGGCGCCGCCCACCACGCCCAGACCGAACACCTCGTACTCCACCGGGAAGCGTTCCTGAAACGTGGGGTTACAGAGGTCTTTGAACTGATAACTTCTTACGGGAGGGAAAACCCCTTCGTTACGTAACGCGTTGCGGCGCCAGTCTGTCTATCTTCCCTTTCTCTCACGCATACGGCAGCGGTAGGCAAACTCCTCCTCTCTCAATCTAACCTACAGCGCTAGCCGTATATGTGTATATAGAATAATATATGTTTTATAATTAATAAAAGATTTCAATAATAAATAACCTTTCGTTACATTATCATATTAATATACATAAAAAAGTGATAGCCTAAGCTTTTCTCAAGTTAAACAATTTCAATATGAAATAGTTCAACTGAGATTAGTTTAAATTATCACTTCTGTCGGGCGTCCTGAGAAGCACACGTTTTTTTTTAATTATTGACGCTTAATATGGAATAAACAGATGAATATATGTATATCATAGGTATGATAAGTTTTATATGATACTTTAGAAATGATTGATTCCCCATACAAATCCCCCTTCTCCCCTTTAAGATGTGATTTATATATATGGAACATGGGGTCACAGCGCTTTTTGAAATTATACTTCTTTTCACACATTTGGAAAAAATTATGAGAGTAAAATTTTTAAAATGGGCGCGCACACCGACAGCCTGTAGTACGTTTTGACACTTAGTATGAAATAGATAAACTATATATACATAGATATAATGATGAGTTATATATCCCTTACTTGAGAAATTATTGATTCCTCATACAAACCCCTTTTCACTACCTTAAGATATGATTTCTGGAATAAAAACTATCCTATATCCTCCCCGGGGTCTCAAACTATCTCCATACTAAATTTCATCTAAATCGGTACAGGGAACTTTCAGTTTATCCATTACAAACAAAAATACAATTCTTTTTCTCTTTCTTCTAGTTATTTAGTAGTTTTATTTAAAATAAGAAAAATAATATTTAAAAAAAACAAACCTTTAAATCAGTTAGAACTTCAAATGCATTGTCTAAGGATATGTCTGGCTCATTTAATTTCTCAACTCTCATGATTATCTCTTGCATCTTCTCAATGACTTCGTCTTCATTTTTCACCTTCTCATTACATTCATCCAGATCTCTTTCTAGAACTACTATTTCATCCTCCGCCTGTTGCAGTTCACGGGCATTTTGAATTATATCCTGTAAGCAAAAACTTGCGTTTAAATAATGTCATACTACCAGTATTAGATAATAATCTATGTAAGTAAAAAAAGCTGTTCATTGGTAAGTTCATCCCCTTAGAATGGCTTGATTGAATTTCATTGTTATATTCTCATAATGGTTCGAATAAGGTTTTATGGTAATACAATTGAAAAAGTAATTGGAAAATTTTACTATAATTTCTTTTTTACAGAATTTTATCAAAGCTCACAAACAAATTTAATCCCTCCACGACTGCGGACACGATATCTTAGAAATTTAATTAATTTCTTAGATATTTAACTGGAGCTGTTAATACGACAGGTCAGGTCACCTAAGTTATAAAAAAAATCTATTTTTTGCTATATTTACGTATTTGTATAAGGTCAAATTCATATGTCAAGTTGTCACTTGAAGCTTCTTTATATAGAGAGGATAGAAGATATAAAATTTACTTCGCGTTCTTTGGCTTATTAGTTGTCATATTCTAAGCACTGTGCAAGAGTACCTGAACACAGCTGTCCAGAAATGTATGTATAGTGTGAGTGTAGTATATTGTAAGTGTAATGTGAGTGTAGTGTATTGTAAGTGTAATGTGAGTGTAGTGTACATGTAATGTGAGTTGTAGTGGTATTTGCTTCTTGTAGTAGTATAATAAAAATATAATATAAATCCTAGCATTAATAAAGTAGACTCACGTTGACACTTAAGCAATTTCATTTCTCTCGACCTTAAATGGGATAGGAGGGAGGCACATACCACTACAGAGTGTAATGCGAGTGATACTGCACTCGCATAGTGCAATGTGAGTGTAGTGTATTTGTAGTGTACGTGTAGTGTGAGTGTAGCGCATATACCTGCTCGCAGCAGTCCAGCACGAGCGCGAGGTTGTGCGCGAGCTCGGGCATGTGGAAGCGCGTGCAGGCACGGCGCGGCTCGTGCTCGTAGCGCGGCGCGGCGGCGCGCAGCGCGTGGTAGCCGCTCAGCACCTTGCGCTCGCGCCCCGTCAGGTCGATCACGGGCACGCGGGACAGCTCGCTGCTGGGGTACCAACACGTTTGCACCAGTTATAACCCGACTACTTTTTTACACTTGAGCCAAATTTTGACATTTTAAGTGCCGTAAAAAATAATTTTATTTAAAATTTGAGTAGTATTATAATTACGAACGTTTGTATATAATGAAACAGGTGGATGGATTTTGATAAAACGGTACGACCTAGACTCTAGGTCTAGGTCCTAGAGTGACACATAAGTTACTATTAAAAGTAAAAATAGGGCAAGTTTTGTTTAATTACCTATATAAAAAACATTTTGTCCCTCAAGTTAACTGGTGAATAATGATTTATCACTGTGAGGGTAGGCGTTTGTGCTCCACAGTGGCACCATATCATGAATTGCAATATAGCCATAAACCAGAACATATCTTTCTTATGTTTTTGTATCTGTGGTGCCACTCAAGCGCCAACTCGCGTTCGTTTTTTGTTTTCGTTGTAACTGGTGTCGGATGTACTATATACTTGTAATATTTAATACTGTTATTAAATTACTAGTTTAAACAATAATCTTGCTTTAATTCATGGGATACATTGAGTATTTATGTCATAAAACTCAAAAAACAACAGAAACTTTAAAAAAATACTACATTATAATAAATTTGTATTATACATAGATGAACATTATGTAATATCACATAGTATTTTATTTCCCCAACTAACATCAATCCTTGCACAGGAAGACCATTTGTCCATGTTTTATTCACCTATTAAAATAAAATATCATATCCTTCAATTGTTACGATATAAGCAAAAATAAAGGTAACCTGCTTAATAAAAGTGACTTTAAAAAAAAAAGCTGTGAAATCATTCCCCGAGTAATCGCTGATTTTTAGATAAATGGTGCATTTATACTCTTAACCAAACTAAAAATATATTTTTTTGGCACTCACAAAAACAAAGAATAATTTGAGAGGTACCTGCTAATAGTATGAGTTGTGGGTTTACCCTCTTGTATGACGTCAGCAGCATCTTTATAAAAATATCGTCCTTTATGTGACTTCTTCCAATTATAATTTTTTTCTTTTGTCCATTTTGCTTCTTCTTCTTTCTCTTTCAGTCTTTTTTCTTCTTCCTTTTTAGCTTTTTGCTGAAAATGTGTTTAAAGTAAATTATTATAACACTTTCATTACAATAAGCTGAGTTTAATTAATGCAGTTATTCATGATTAAATTTTGAATTGAACTTTTATTTTTGTCTGCAGTAAAATAAAAACAATGATACAGTATACAATTCTAATACCCAAGGTACATTCAAATAAAGGGTTGTTTAAAGCTTCATTTAACTACTTAATAAGTCAACTGCAATTATTTAATATATTCTTATCAGTGAATATGGTATTTAGATGGATACTTTTATCTAACATTGTGTATAACAAAATTATTACCGCTGCTTTTTCAGGGCCATAAGCTCCAATAGCTCCTCTTCCCTTTCTCAATGTTGCTTCCACTGGTGCTGAAATACCTTGCAGGTCTTTACCCAGACCCTTTCCTGGTTGGTAGCCCATCTAAAAAGTAATTTATTAAAATTAATTAAAATTTTAATAAAATTAATTAATTTAATAAAATGAATTAATTAACTTAATAAAAAAATAATTTTATAAAACTAATTTAATAAATTTCAGAAACAACTAAATTTAATGACAGTATTTTTTACTAATTAATATTTACACAATAATTCATAATAATATTATTTATTACTACAATATTACCTGTAATAACAATTTGGCCCCAATACCCTTGGTATGTTTTTCCCATGCACCAACATTTCCACCCAGATTGATTCCTCTCATGCCTTGACCAGCTCTGCGAATGCCAGCTGTTTCACTCTCGTCTGGTGCTGGCATTTCTTCATCTGAACTGTCTACATACTTACCTCTTGAAGTTGATGCTTCAGATTTTTCCAATAGTTCTAAAATAAATAACAATAACATCTCATCATTTTTTACAGATTATTTGTATAGTATTTCATTATACTGTAATATTTTTAAAAGTAATTTATTTTATATTTACCTTTTTTTTCTTCTTTCTTCTTGCCAGTCTGCTGTACTCCCCCAGCAACAAATCCAATAGGCGCTGAAAAATCTTTAGGTTTTCGAGTTCTTTGCCTAATATTATCTTCATTGTCTTCCTCATCACTGTCTTTTGCCCATACACCTGTGAATATTTACATGAAAAATATCACATTAACTTATAAGATTTTGACTTGTAAAAGGAATATTTGGCTATGTAATAACACACAATTAATAAAATTACCATATATCTGTTGTTCTTTTTTGGCTCTTCGACTTCTATTAGGATTAAATTCATTATCTAAATCATAATCAGTAATTTCAAAACGTATAACCTCGTCGTCAGACATTTTCACTTTTTCTTATTTATATTATCGCAGTAAAAACAAAATATATTAAGTTGATATTCTTAAATCTAAAAATATCTAAAATCCATTTTAGAAATTATAAATATTTTGTACTGTAAATACACTATTGTAATTTGTAAATAGTTGACACTGACAGTAGTAATGTTGTTGTGATTTTTAATTCAATTCTTTATTGGTTTTAATGCGTGCCAATTAAGCACAAATTATTTCGCCAATATCACGTTGAATGGACGAGTCACGTTGGAGATTGGCCTGTGATATTTTGAATTACATATTCCACTAAAAAGACTGGATTAAATATAAGAATTTTAATAAATCTAGTTCTGATTTTTTACACAACTGTCAAGCAAATGTCAATTCACTGAGGACTAAATGTCAACAGACAAACACTATAAGCTTTAACAGATTATACAAAGCATAGATACTTTATAAATTACGTAGTGACGTCCTCCAATATGATTTTTCGATTCTATAATGTGATGAATCGATTTGTAATTTACTTTATCTGTATGGCGATTATTGCAAAGAAAATGGAAAATTGACAAATGACATTTCCGAAGTAAATATTCTTTCTGTTTTGTATTTCCAAGGCCTGTATGTAAATAATAAAAATGATTTATAAACAATTTTGAGTTGTTAAACATTCTATTAAATCCGGATTTACATAATCTTAATTAGTGACATGATTGGAATATAAATAGCTGTAAAAATGCTAAGCCGATTTTCAGACGTTTTGCAGACCGCTGCGGACGTAGTAAGTTTAATAATTATTTTTAAAGCTATTCAAGACTATGTACCTTTATCCAGACATATATTAGACATAATAAGTTAATTTAAAATAAAAATTAATTAATAGCAAAAATGGTTAAAACATGAATAAATTTTTAAGTGTCATTAAGAATAAAATGAATAGAAGGATAATTAACCCAATTAATTTTTAAAATAATAATTCATTTTATTCAGTTGGCCCCGCCTGCTACTAAATTAGAAGACTTTGAGTATCATTGGAAAATGGTAGTTAATTTCTACCAGAATTATGATGAGACCACCAAAATACATGTTGAAGATACAAAAGTGCCCCATCACTTACACCAGATGCTGCAGGTATATTTTCCTTTATTTATATTCATACTAGACACTCACCCTCGTTTTAACAGTTTGTATGAAATACAAATCTTTGAAATTTTTGGCTTTTCTGCACTATAATATGCATATATTAGACATATAAACCTTCCTCTTGAATCACTCTATCTATTACTGCAAACTGCATTAAAATCCGTTCAGTAGTTTAAAAGATCTAAGAGAATAGACAGTTTTAAGCGACTTCATTTTATACTATGTAAAGATGTGAATGGACATAGTTCCAACTTATAGTAACATCTAAATAATAATGTAATAAATAATAAAATAGATGTGTAGGCTTTGTCTGAAGAATTTGGAGGTTGATGAGACAAATAAAATACTAAGTTAAACATTTTGTATCTATTTTATGATATATAACATGAAAGTAAAAAGTTAAATAAAATAGTATATTATTTATATAACTTTGTTATTCTTGATAACAAGTGGCCATATGCCTAACATTTAACTGATATTAAAATGTGATAAGCACTAACTATATAAATTACAAAATAAAAATGTTAATGGGAACAAATACCATATTTATGCATTAATAACAGTAAAATTCTATGTAAAGATAGAATTAATGAGATAATTTTAATTTAAAATTATAATTAATGTATTCAAAAATGAAATTACAGTGGAACAAGACTTTCACTGGATACAATACAAAGTTTTTAATGAGGTATATATATACAAAGGTCGTTTTATATGTACATATTTCACTTTAATTTTATTATTCTCAGTGAACCATGATAAGAAAATCCATTTGTCTCATGTGGAAAATAAAGCTGGGATTTTTAGCCTATTAAGGAGATCCCTGTCAATCTATGTCAAATTCACTATAATCACAATTAATAATTTATTGAAGATATTTTCTGTTATATTTCTATTACGTATAGATTATTCAGTGTTATAAATATAGTATTATCTTATGAAATGTGAAGGTCAACAAACAATATTAACTATTCGTTTTATGTTAATTTATGCACAAATTACTGATATAGTGATAAGACATGTATATGTTGCACATACGTTTTTTTAACTAGTTTTCATTTTAAACGTACCCTTTCTTTTTATTTAAATATTGTTTATTTATATCCATCTTGAAGACTTTTTCTTCTATAATAATTAATTTTTTGAATGAACTCAAATTTATTATAGACGATGCTGTTAATATATATAATACAATAAATTAGTAAATCCAAAAACTCTTTTTAGCTAATTGTAGATGAAGAGAAGGAACAACAAGGTGGCACGGTGGGGCCGTGTTTAGAAGCAATAGTTCAAAGATCCATAGGTTTATTGGATGCGTTAGTAGCGATCGCAGTTACGGATAGACCGCCTGGAGCTCGAGCGATGGCTCTTACAATAGCTACTGCATTATTACGAAGGACAAAGCAGCCGTGTATTAACAGTCCAAATGTGTATAGACCTTTGCAGGTGAGAATCGGGGATCGTGGAAGTTAAAATAGTGTTTCATAGTTTTATTGTAATATAATTAAGGACATATAATTTTTTTAAATAAAATATTACACTGAAACACGTGCGTAAGTTTAATATAATTTTTCGAAGTAACTATTCATCATATATTAAATACCCGTCAAAATTACCCGGCAACAAAAATTGCCTAAAATTACCCGCCAATTGTCAGCGCTGGCTATGCTTTGCTTACGCTTTAGCCTTCTCGTTAGGTCTTTTTTTTTATTTCAAAACCAGAACCCCCAGTATCATAATTGCTTTACATTATTTAAGACTTGGTTGACAGTTTCGACTCGAAAATTATAGGTGTCGGATAGTATCCGAAGAATTGGAAGTGTCAAGTGTTTCTGACGACGACGCTCCTATTTCTGAAAGAATGAGAACAAGATAAATATGTATATATTTTGTGTCTCTTTCAAAAGCTCTAAATTAAAGATGGCGATCCTAGATTTATAAATACCTACAGTTTTTTTCTTATTCTCATTGTTAAATAAAAGTAAATATATATATATATATATATATTTAAAAATGAAATACAACAAATATCTTTATAAAATATCGAAGTTCGACTAATTAACGTTCTTTACATATATATTTCTTAACGTGGCCATTAATTTCCATATCGCGGTCTGGTCACATTTCTATAATTAAAATGCTTTCCTTTAATTTGTAGTTGCTAAGGTATTGTATGTGGGTTTATTTATTTATCTAAAAGGCAAAATACTTTCATTGTTTTATGTTTTTTATAGTTTAAGTTTGTAGGTTCTCTCAGAAATTACGGTATTAGCAAGTGATAATCATGTTAGAAATACCGTTGTAGATTTGTTGCAGTATTGTTGTCTATACAAATAAATAAAATTCAAGCGTCTGTTTGTAATGTCGAATTAATGTATTGATTGAACGGTAGTTTTTAAATTTAATTATATATTTTATTATTTAACTATTCGTATCTGTTTAAAATGTACTTAGGGATGCACCCGAGCGAAGTGAGGATTCGTCCCTAGTAATAAATATTCTTGTTATTCACATTCAGTTTATTTTACAGCGAATGTTAGTTCAATGCAATGAAAGCCCAGCATCGCCCACTGAGAAAGAGGAAGTAGAACTACTTCTTACACTGTGCGGTCTCGTACGTAAAGAACCAGGTCTCGCAAACATTTTCACCACACCCTTTATAGAAGATAAAGCGAATTTACTCAGCATTCCAGAAGATATACAGCAGTTGATACCAGTCAAGTCAAAGAACCAAACTCCTAAAAAGAATCCACTTTTCGAAGTGGACATGGTGCCAGATCCTGTGAAGACGGTGTCGATAGTGCGAGTGAATGAAAGTATATCCGGTTGTTCCGCGGGGGATGATAACGCATCGTGTAAGAGCCAGAAGACCGTGTACGATGATAATGACAAGTTTCTCCTCATCGACTTATTGCTGTCTTACTTAAATAGTGCGGTGCGTTTTTTTTTTAATTTATTGTATTTATGTGTCTTGGCGATTAGGTCATCTATACAGATAAATAAAATTGAAGTGTATGTTTGTAATGTTAAAATACCAGCTTTTTATTAAATGCATATGAAATTATATATGGTACTTATAAGGAAAAACACATTTTTTTTTTAAATTTTGTAAGTTTGTCTGTTTGTTCCGGCTAATCTCCGAAATGTTGGACTGATTTTGATAAAAATTTCACTGGCAAATAGTTGATAGTATAAGAAGTAATTTGACTACTTTTATTTCATAATGAATTAGTTTTACACTCAAAAAAATAAAACGTACTTAGGGATGTAACTGAGCGAAGCGTGGGTGGGTAAGTCGCTAGTTTAAAATAAAATCCTGATAAAATGGTTCCGCGTAGTAGTAACAAATACTTTTTCAATGACTTCGATAGGACCAGTGGCGCGAACTAGTGAGCATCCCGGAACCACAACCAATATAACTCATTTGTTTAGTTCATGAGAGTATGTATAATCCATTTCACTTTCTAATAAGGAGTTGGTCTAAGCACCCAAAGTATTAAAATACACTCGCAGGACAATCAAGTGGTCCTTCGAGCATGTGAAGGCATAATGATAGTATCCTCCCTCCCCGACGACGACATCGCCAGCCTAGTGACGTCCTGCAGCCCCGCCTGCGAGACCATCATCGAGATGCTGGTCCAGCGCTTCCGCAGCATCCCCATAGATGTGGACCCCAACGATGTGGATAATAGGGATATTACGTGGGCGTGAGTTCATTTTGTTTTTGGTCAATTAAAATAAATATCTTTGTTGTGTGTAGATATTCAAGATACCTTAGCAAATTATAAACCGATTTTCTTCATGTGTTATAAAATATTTTTAATGGCCATAATTTCTTTTGCAGGTTTTTGTATATTTTTTCAATTAAAATTTTATCTGTAATTTTATTTCCAGTTACATGGCGCAGGTTTTTGGTGACAAGTCCAGTAATAGGTTCCACGGGTACCGCGAGCTCGTCAGCTTCTTCTCCTGGCTCGACTACTGCGATACTCTGATGAAGGTGAGTCATTATAATTTTCTCTTTCCTTTTGCGATTGATGATCGATAGAAAATACAAAGTCGTTGGCATTTCTGATTATTTCTGCTCCTAAACGTGGGTGAGAAACTGTCTCACATTTCTTGGATTCCAATGAATATTTAGTATAAGAATTTACAATTTTACTTCGCTATGTACTTTAAAGTGGTTGTCTTTTGTCTAAAGAATAAAGGAAAGTAGATTATACGTATTTTATGTTTCAGGTAAATAAGGTTGAATCATTATAAAAGACGGTTGTTTCGATTTTTTTGCACTGTTTGTGCGATATTAAAATGGTTAATTTACCGTATATATACATAGTATTACTAAATATCTCATCGGTCATATCGAATTGTCATCGCTTGAGAGTGAGAGGGATAGAGAGTGCACATGTGCACATGTGCTTGCACGCATAACTGTGCATGTGCGTTATATTATCTTTTGCGCACATGGTTAGTCTCAGTGTGATTAGTGGTCGTGGTCGAAATCGGTCAGGAGGATATATTTATACATGTATATTATAAGTTATAGATCCTGGTCGCTGAGTTTATATATTCATGGATCAGTTATTGTAAGTTATAGGCAATAATTAAAAAAAAAACTAGTACGATGATATTTGTGAATCTATTTGCAAAAAAATGTTTTTCTAAGAGTTTTCGGAATATAATAAATGTGGATAGCGTGTAATATGGTTTATTGCTAAATACGTGTTCGGTCCGTGTTCAATAAATGCGGAAGACATGCACTAAGAGTCGCGTGTCGCGCTGTGCCCGCAGGAGTGCCACGCGCACATCGCGAGCCACCTGGCGCGCACCTTCCGCGCGCACTTCCTGCAGGCCGCGGCCGACGCGCTGCTGGGCGCCGCGCGCGCCTTCCCGCGCCGCGCCGCGCTCGCCGCCGCGCTGCTGGCGCGCGCGCTGCGCCTGCTCGACGCGCCCGACCTGCTCAACGGTACGCACGCACACACATACTCGCATGCGCACACTATGTCCCCATGTTGGAAACTGATGTCACTTGCACTGAGGACGAAGGGGTTCAGGCTATAGTCCACCACGCTAGTTAAGTGAGGATCGGCGACCTGCACATGTTTTTATTAAGAAAATGCTACGCTCGTAGTCACTCGACAGACAGATTTACTTACAACGTTTTCCTTTTTCATAAAGTGAATGATCTTTATGAAAAAAATTGGTTTTTATAAAGAGTTTTATCTTGTCAAAAATGTTTGGCAGACCTTGTTGAAAATGGTTCGCACATTAAAATGTCAGAAGTGCGAGATCCGAAATTAGACTCCGCTTTATTGTTATTTTTTATTGTTGCCTTTTACGGACACATAAAAACATTACATATATAACACCCGTACAAGTTCTCATCATAGAGATGAGAATTTGCAACCGTGACCAATCACCACGATTATTGACCCGAAACCTCTATAAAACAAATAAGTCCATAATTCCAGAATTTTCCAACTGGCTGGTGGGTGAGGGTGAGGGGGAAGGTGAGGGTGAGTGGGCGCTGCTGCGCGAGCTGCTGGAGGCCTGCCTCGCCGGGGACTACAACCTCACCCTGGAGACGCTCAGGTTCTTCGAGGTGAGACACTTGGTGTTCTACTAATATAATAAACGCGAACGTTTGTGAGGATGGATGGATGTTTCATACTCCTTCACACAAAAAGAAAGATGTCAAAAATATGCATACTCTTTTGGATAACATTTATAAGTAATAAAGGTATATATCTTTTATAATTAACAAAAAAATAAGGTGCACACAAGTAATCAAAACGGTTTAAATTCCATATGTTTTGAAATCTTTGAAGTTGTAAGAATCCCGACTCGGAACAAAAAAATGTCGAAATCAATTTGTAATAAGCAAAAAAATGAATGTAACAGTGTCAACAATCGATACTGATAATAATTTATTGCGAATTTTTTTTAATCATATTTATTAATATTTATTTATGTGAGGTCCACTACCAAACCGGGCTTAGAAGTTGCATGATGGATAGAAGTTTAAAAAAAAAAATTTCCAAAAAAATCGAAGGACACACGTAGTTTTAAAAACACGATTGAAAACTTAAACTTCAAAAATCTCGATTAAAAACTTGTTATTATTTTTTTTATATCTTTTTTTTGTAAAGGTCATCCAAAAACAAAAATATTGAAAAAAAAAATAAATTTCTACCATTATTAAGACAGTTATGAGCAAAACACCAAAAAAAGAGCGGTTTTTTGAAACTTCGGTATTTTTTGAACTAGTAATCAAAAACATCTCATAGTTTACGAGGAAGCCTCTTTTGAGGCGTACTAAAAATACCAAAAATAAAAATTAAGAAAATCAAAAATAAAAATGTTTAAACCGTCCGATTTGGCGTGGAGCGCCCCATATATACGTATGTATGTGTGTGTACGCGCAGGCGGTGGTGGAGAAGGGCACGGAGCACAGCCTGACGCGGCTGGTGCTGGCGCGCGTGTGCTCGCGCGGCTACCACGCGCGCGCGCCCTCGCCGCCCGCGCGCGCGCTGCAGGCCGAGCGCGAGCGCCTCAACGACGTCAGCTTCGCGAGGGAGCGCGAGCGCACCAGGTGAGGCACACGCACACACACACACACACGCACGCATCTGTACAAAGTGACACGCGTAACGGTGGCGGTGTGCGCGCAGGGCGGCGGCGGCGCAGCGCTCGCACGAGGCGCGCGTCAGTGCGGCCGTGGGCGAGCTGCTGGCGCTGGGCCCGCGCCACGAGGAGCTGCACCGCGTCGTCAACAGGTACTGATACTTTGTTCCGTTTAAACTAATATTTCGCATTTTAAATAAAACTATCTTTTCGGATTTTTAAGCGGATTTAATTTGATTTTTGTTTTCCGACGTTTCGAATGATTTACAGCAATCGTGGTGAGTTTCTCCCGTGACCACGATTGCTGTAAACCATTCGAAACGTTGAAAACGAAAAACCAAAATAAATCCGCGAAAAAATCCGAAAAGATAGTTTTATTTTATATATGTACTAACTCATGCCCGCGGCTTATCTCATGTTATTAGCGAGACGGGTTCCGAGGGTAGCCAATCCGTCCCAAGGATGCAATCTGTGCCCTTGCCACCTTTTTTTTTAAATCTGTTCAGCCACTTTAGCATAAAAATTTTAAGTATGAACAAGAACTGGTATTTCATCCAGTTTAAACTAATTTATAGACATACAAAATTGAAATGTAAATTAACTTCATTCTTAACTTAACTAACGAACACCTAACTCTAGTCAGTGTAGTCAGTCAGTAAAGAAGCTACTACATATATTATTATTATTATATTTACATTTGTTTGTTATACATATGTATGTATAACGTATGTAAGAAGTGACCGGATGAAGTACCTTCATCCAGTTTAAATGTTCTGTAAATTATACTGATAGGTAATTAAAATGTTCGATAGATTTCCGTATTTTGGCCTACAACGGAGGATACATTTTTAATTTTTTTTTTCATTTTCGGCATAAAATTAGTATAATATGTAAAATAAATATAAATATTAATATTTATTTCATTCATTAATACATTTATTTAAAATATCTCTTTATAAGTCTTGTCTATTTGAATTATTTTAATATCGAATATTTGAATCGATTTTACAAAATCAAAAAACTATATCATTTAAAAAAACCAAACATTATTCCGTTTTCTTATATTTAAATACGCATGTTTATTTCGAATACATGTTTCTTACTAACATACATTTTTAATAAATCCCCAAAAAATCATATAAAATGAAATTTTAATTCTGAATTTGCCATTCGATAAATATAAAGTATACTAAATAGTGATTATTTGGATTGTTTCAACTTTTAGGCGCCTAAAGCAACTCATAGAGCGTATCGACGAGCTAATGGCGGCCGACACACGCACAGACGATGTCTCGTAGTATATAATGTACATACAACTAGATGTTCAAGTATTACGTAAAAAGTCATATTTTAGTGTTTATCTCATTTACTTTACATTTAAACTAAAAAATAAAAAAAAAAAATTGAATCAGGTAGTCGACACTCGACGCTACCAATAGACTCAAAACGCGATTCCGCCATACATTTTGTTGAGCAATAAGAACCTGTGACGTCACTTATTTGAAAAGTCGATTATTTATCGATTTCCAAGCAACTAAAAATATATTTTACATTTAAATGAAAATGATTCGGGTTTTCAGGGCTAAAGTAGTGTTTTTTTAATCTGTTTTTTTTAATTGATTAATGGCGCCATAAACTATCCAATTTAATATATTTAACGTTTGCGGGACAAATAATTCAATTTTGTGAAAATCTAGTGTATTTATATAGAAGACTAAATTTGTTTTGCATTCAGCAAAAATATTTAATTTTGAAGTGTTAAGTGTTTTGAATTGTGAAGTGTAGATTTTTTTTAATGCGTCATTATAATAAGTTCCGTTAATTCCAGAATAAAAATTGAATTAAATTTTTACGTCATGCTTGAATTATTTTAACTAACTAGAATAAGAAGTGCTTTTTATTTCTTTTAATATTTACATATCGTTATAATTCCTAAAGGTGCAAATTGTTTTATGTTAAGTACAAAGTGATATGAAATTATGTTGCCAGATCGCACCTAATATTTTATTTAAGTCTTTTGTTGCCATTTTATTTCTTTATTACATAAAATATTATTTTTAATTTAAATAGATATTTTTTTATAATATTATAAAAAAATAGCAATAACAATTCAATCTCCGAGGCTGTTTAGCCCAGAGTATGTTATTGAATGAATTTGTACAATAAATTGCCATTAGAAATTAATTAGTCTAAAGTTTATATTTACATATAAATATAACAACTACATGCAGAGAATGAATATAATCATAGATTATATATTTTTACATTTCTTTTTAATATTTCACTTTTTTTTTAATATTAGTTGCATTTATAGTGCTTTTCATATTCATAACGATATATTTTAAAAGTTTAACTTACTAATGTTCAACAAAATTAACAATTAATTTGCACATTAATTGAATAAAAAAAAAACTTTGTGATTTTCAAAATGGTTTCTTATTTATAGAAATCTTGATTATTTTTTTACTTTTTTTTTATTTTTCTTTCGATTTGCTTGTAAATTATAGTATCACATAAATTATTTGAAAGTAACAAATAACAAAACATGCAAATATACTTATTATATAATTTAATTTTTATTTCTTTTGGCGCTGTTATCTAAAACATGAAATAATTTAATCTCATTTATTAATTTAATGTTTATTTATTAAAAGTACCACTATTGTGGGTTTTTATACAGTATTCTTGGAGATGCCATAAATATAAAATAAATTAGTGAAATTTCAACAACCAATAATATTAACGTGATAATTTTCTCATATGTTAAGAAATTGTACACACAAATAAAAGTTAATTAATTAAGTATATGATAAGTGAGCAATGTGGATAAAATTAAAGAGATACAAGTAAACACGTAGTTTGATTCCCTCGCGCAGCTTCCTGCTGCTGCTGCCGCGCGGCGTGCTCTCCGACCCGCTCGGCGCCGACTACGCGCACTACGTGCACGACGCGCAGCGACACTACCAGGTACACCCCCACCCACTCCCACACATATCCCCTACCCCACACATTACCACCCACCCCCACCCCCATATATCCCCTACCTTACCAACCTAAGTCCTGAACTTATCTATCAACATAACTCGACATCTAGTATACCTGTCAGTTTAACCTATCAATCCAACGAGATAATTTGCAAATCTGTCAAGTTTAATTCAATGCCATCTAATAACAATTAATAAATGTATGATCATTATTCTATTAATAAAAAAAATCATACATGAAATTATTATAACTATTTCGATATTAATTAATAATTATACAATTTTAGTATTTAAACAATTTCAAAGCTTTTGTTTTTTTTTATCGAAATTACTTTTTCAACTAATACGTAGTACGTAGAGTACAGTAATCTGTACTCTCAGATACAATGATCATGTGTACAGACCAGGTTCAATAAAAACTACAATATCAAAATAAATATTGCAAATCCCGTCTATTTTCCACAATAAATGATGGAACCCACGCAACTATTTCAGCTGTGGCTCGACATAACGTCGACCTACAACTGGCCCACAGAGCTCTGCTGCGATACCACCGCCAGTTCCACGCACAGCTACGACAGCCGGCCCGAGGCTGACATACACTTGGATGACGTCTTCGACACTCTTCACAATGACACAGATAATCAAAAACATCAAATCGATTATCCAAATCGATATGATAAAATCGATACTAAAAATGACTCGCAGCTACTCCGTAATAGGGATGTGACATCGAGTTTTGAGGAGGAATTCGATGAAGGGCCGTTTTTGAAGATGCTTTTTAAGCTGTTGTCGAATATGCCGGACCAGCCCTACCAAGTGAATCTGCATCTCACGTCGATTATATCGAAACTAGCGTTGCTCCCGCATCCAAATTTACACGAATACTTGTTGGATCCTTATTTGCCGGTAGCAAAGAACACGACGACGTTGTTCAAGACGCTGCAGGACGTGGCGCGCCGGATCACTATGGAAGTGCCGCGCATCAAAAATTACAAGAAAGTGATCGAGAGCACGCGGGCGCAGCTCATGAGCGAAGACCCCAGCTATGATGAGATGTAAGTGGTATTCATTGGATTATTATTTATTAGTATTATAAATGTGTGGGTGTATGTGCGTGTATGTGCAGGGATGACGACATCAGTGTGTTTGTTTATTATCCTCATGGTGGAATGGCTGGACGTCTTTGGATTACACAAATAGATTATGACGTGGAATAACACATAGGTTACTGTTAGCACAAAAATTTGACAAATGGTGGCGCTGCTTGTATACAATATTGTAAATGCAGGAAACACCTAGAGACTCGCTTAGTGTACACTAATATTATAAAGAGATTAAAGTTTGTAAGTTTGTATATAGTGGGTAATCTCTGAAACTACTGGTTTGGTTCTGAAAATTTTATCACTATTAGGAACCTAATTACCGCTGAGTCTTATAGTACAGTTAAAGTATATATATTTTTTTCACCTGGTACTATTACTTAGATACTCAAGACATTATAAAACTGAATATTGAATTGCTTTATATCATGTTCTGTCTAAACGGTTTGAAATGAAACAACAAAATGTATGGCAAAAAGGCACCTAGGACTAAATCGTTAGTATATAATACAATAGATGGGTACATTCCAGCGGAGAACATAACCAGTTGGTGGAGAGCCTGATAGTCCTCGAGGAGTTCTGCAAGGAGCTCGCCGCCATCGCCTTCGTCAAGTACCAGCATCTCGAGCACTTGCACCGATGAGAGTAATCATTAATTGTCTGCGGATACCAACTTAGTGCTGCCAGTTCTTGTGTTACCTGTTGAAAGTTATATAATCTGTCCGTCTTTTTTTTATTTGACAGCTACTTAATATTTTTTTCAATATTAATTCTAGCTTTCAATTGGATAGTGAAAGATTTGAAGGAGATTGATATTTAAAGTTTTTTTTTTCTTGTTTAATTCAGTTCTTTTATTGTCAAAGTTATCCGTAAAATTTAATATTAATGACGGGTTAGTTATAAATATAGAAAATGTGATATTTTATATCTTCACTTCACTTCAATGTAACTTAATATATTTTTTAATTTAAATACTTTACAGGCTTGGATCACTCTAAATAAGTCCTTGTGTGAACAAAAGTGAACTATAGTTATATTATTTTTTATGTTAAAAATATTAAAAGAAGTATTTATAAAAGACTGTAGCTATCTGTGTAAGGACAGTTCTGAACCTGATCTAGCATTTTAGATATAATCTATGCAATAAAAAAAAGTATTTAAATTTTTATTTCTTTAATGTTACACAGATTAAGTTTGTTAAATAGTTACAAAGCTTGTGCCGCTCGCTGCTTAAGGGATGAGTTATTTTTAATTTTATATGTCATATTTATGTAGCTTAGCTTTGTTTTTTTATTTTTGGCATTTTATTTTTTGCTATATCATCATATTTTTTTAAAGGCAAAAAATATTTTTTTAATAAATTAAATAATCATTTCATATTAATTTATTACAAAGGATTTTAAATCTTGAGAATACTAAGTTTATATACAATTAAACTATTATTTATAATTTCCGAGTACATAATAAATTAATATCGTGTCGAATATGAAATTATAATTATCAAATATCGCAACATGGCTGAATTTTAAATAAAAAATGCGCGTATAAAAAAAACCATAAAAAGACTCCTGAATATGATTTCTTATTTACCTTGTTGCGTGTCTAGTCGATTATATTGAGACCAAAAACAATTACTTTATTATTATGTTATTATTAACAAAAACTAAAGATACACAATTAGCGTCTCAAAAATATTCTCAAAAAGATGTCAAATGTCTTTTGTTCATTGCTTACGGATGACAAAATTAAAACTCATGTTGTTTCATTTAAAAAAGTACTTTATGCGGTGTGCGTAAGTGCTAATTTGTATTTAGACTATTAGAACTTCCGATTTTTGAGTTTTATTCTTTGGTTTGATTTAACGTCACATGTCGACGACACTTTTTGTAGAGATATTTGTTGGGAATTGTGTATTTATGTTTTTATATAACAATAATGTAAGTATATACATTTATAATACCAGCATCGTTCTAGTCTGAACAATTTAAAGCATTCCGTGCGTTGTTTTCAGTGTTTAGTTGTATGGAGCTTGGTTTTTGCACTCGCTGTCGTTTGAAGTTGACCGCACAATGTATGTACAATATGAGGCATTTGTTAAATAAAACGTTTATTATTATTTCTGTTGTTTTATTTTAAATGTTTAGAAGATCTAAGCGTACATGAGGACAGACAGACGCGGGAAGCGACTTTGTTTTATACAATGTAAAGATATAACGATGTAAAGTATTGTATAAAAAAAATTCATGCACCATTCCCTATTTAGCTTGAGAATTTAAACAACCCATAGCCAACCAAGGCCTTAGTTGGCACTGTACCACATAATATTTATTTTATCACGCATTGCTAATATCAATCAACATACATTTTTCAATAAATTCGAATGGCAACAATAATACAGTGTATAGTATATGTAAATAACAGGTGTATAGTATATGTAGGTAACAGTAAGTGGGATCAAATTCGTGACTGACAATAGAGGTGACGTGAGCTGGGTGATCAAATTAGTTAAAATCTAAAAAAAATAATAAAAGAACAGTCGCAGAACAATGTATCGGGTAGCGTTATTTTTTCAAAGCAATTGTTATAACTATGAGTTTACAGTTTGTCAGGTTCCAGGCCTTAAATATATCACAAGACTTAATTTTAAAAATTAAATCATGTTTCGAAAGTTTTTAACAAAAAATAATAATATCACACATTTTTTTACATAAACCATTGATCAAAAAAATATTAAATAGATACACAATCAGCGCAAAAAATGTCCTCACCAACAGAGCGCTCATTTTAACATTTGAGCGCGTTTTTATTTATTTTTTTGTGAAAACATCTTTAAGCATTGCATTTAAGGTTTAATTTACATTGCTGTATATTTATTTCGACAAGAATAATTGCCTAAACATGACAGTTTTAAGAGAACTTCTGCATGGGATTGTATATTATGTATCTAGTATTTTTTTAATAGATGGCCTAAACTTTCAATCAAGCGCCGCTGGCGCTATACTGTAGGTGACTCAAAATGAAGTACTAATAATAATCAATATAATATTCTACAATCGCTGTCTAATAGAAAACCAACCAACCAAAACTAACGTATACCAGCATTATGTTCGAGGTCAATATGACATTCAAACATCATGTTTGTTATCTATTATCGATTGTATCAAATCAACTTATTTAAGGGTCTTGCGATTTTAAAATATAATCTTAAAAAAAACACAATTTATCGTATAAATAATATTTTGAAATATTAGTGGGATTTCAATAAAATAAAACAAATAAAAAATGCAATAGTGATTATATTTTCTTTCAAAATTAAATAATGCGTATAAACATGAATTAATTACCAACAAAACTGGTTAAAACTATTTACAATCGTGGAATTCTTACTTTCACGTTTCGAGAACAAACTGACATTTTATATGTTCTTATATTTTAATTTAATATATAAAACCGATTATTAACAACAAAAAATTGTTTATAACCTATCGATATTTTAAAAAATCACTTCGTATGGTTAGAATTTTAATAACTTTATAAGCTAAATAATTTATAATATTAAAACGAGAAATCGCAGCCATCATCAGTTTAAATAAAGAAAGAAAAATATTTACACAATAAAATATATACTTATAAAAACATTTAAATGTTTTATTTAAAAAAGAACATATTTGCTAAATTGAAAAATTAAAGCCAGATACTCACTATCACGTACACCTAGAGTCTAGACCATATACAATTATATTCTCTACAAAAAAAAAGAAAATGTCAGTTTGTCCCCGACGCGACGTCGCCGCTACATTGTACTATCGGTACTATCGCTTTTAGGACTCCGTCAAAAACCGCTTTAGGCACTTAACTAATATTTCTAGTTTAAGTAGTTTTTTCGTCTTTTTCTGTTTTTTTTTTTTTTTACCTTTACTCCATATGACGCTATATATTAAGCAATTGTGATGCAATCCCGTTTTATAAAAGTACTGGGCGTACGTTCGCTTTCTTTCTTTCTAGGGAGTGGTCAATTTCATGACAGTATCGTTGAGTCCATTCTCTACGTCTATGGTATAAATGGACATGTTGTCATTGTAGTGTCATGGAGAATACAGAGTAAAAAACCGTGTTGCGAATTCATTGTTGCCAAATAAATTAAAACAACTAAATATTATCTAATAAAATACAAAAAAAACATCAACCTTTGAATGTGTTCGTAATAATATTTCACAGCTACAGAAATGCGAACGTTCATTTCAACATCTTATTCTACCAGTGTATTCATAGATACAATTTATTTAATATTTTAAATTTTTCTTTTTTTAAATAATCACAAAGAAGCACTTAGAAAATAATTGTTTAAACTAAAACGTAAGCATTTCTTATTGAATAGGAAAAATATTAAGAAATTAACGTTAGAAAGGTGGAATAAATAATAGAATCTGTATCTTTTCAAAGGTAAATTCACTCGTTTTAAATTAAATCTCCGTCGACATAATCCTTAGTATATACCTGGCGTATTAAATTCTACTATATGTATACGAACTAGAGTATATAGTTCGACCAATTTGTCTTTGGTCACAGACAAAATTGGCTAAAGAAAGAAAAAAGTAATAGTCTATGTTAATTATTCAATAGAGACACCTCTATTGATGAATGTTAAATAATTCGAATAATATATTTTTATTTATATGACTTTTTAGTTTTTTTCTGAAAATACCTTAAATGTTACGGTTTCTTAGTTTTATTAAAATTAATTCATGAAATATTGATTTAAGTTTTGTTCAAGAATATCTATATTTTTATAAAATTGCCATAAACAAATGTGTCCTGTCAATTATAGCTGTACTTATGATTATTTATTTTATAACAAAATACATTTAAAAACATAACATACTTGAAAGTGATTAAGATTTCCCAACATAAACAATCATAATAAAATGTTATATCATCTAAGATCAAACATCCTTGTGTCTGTTAACTTGGAAGATTCAAAAAGCTCAAAGAAAAAGGTCGGCTAACAAAGTTCACCTGTACAGTTAGTTACCAATCGATTAATTTTATCGCAAACTAGCGACTAACACTCGCTTCGCTCGGGTACGTTTTACCGTTTGGTATAGATTTCTCAGAGATGAGATATTGTCCAGCGATAAAAAGTATCCTATATATTGATATGATATGACCCAGATAACAAGCCATAGTTTTCGTGTGATGCATTCCCAGACACAGACAGACAGACAAAAATTCAAAAAACTATAGATTCGGCCTCTGTATCGATAATAATGACTATTTCAATAAGATTTTCCAAAAAATATTAAATGTACAGATTCGACTCAGAATTTTATTATATGTATAGATAGATGACGTTAAGTAGAATTTAGCTGTCGATATCTAACGACTTCTATGGGCCGTGGTTTTGTAGTATATTTTGTAAACAAATATTATTTTAAAAGAGCAACTGTTGTGTTCGTAGCCGGTCGTTCTCAGCAGAACTGCTTTCCGAGCCGGTGGTAGATTCCCCACAGACTGACTACACTGACATTTAATTTAAATTTAAAAATTTAAAAAGTAACGATTCAATAAGTAAAGCTGATGATGTAAATGATAATGGCATCTGTCCAACTATTCGTACAAGTCATTCCTCAGATATTGGAT